GCAGAAAGGCTGAAAAATGGCCCTTGAATGGTGAGGTAGATCAGGGAGTCACGGAGACATGAACCAGGACAATTGTTACTGACGGAGGAAGTGGCTGGGTTGGTAGTGTTGCAGGAAGTCAGGGTAGGGTGTAGCAAGGCAGTGGAGATTTGAATGTGAAGATGAGGATCTTGAATTTGTTTTGCTGTGAGATGGAGACCCTCCCAAAGTTAGCTCTATATGCTTTCTACCCCACATTTGCGCCATGACTCGTTCTGCCTTCCCCCACCTCTGCAACGTCGCCCGGCTCCGGCACTGTCTCACACCACAGACTGCCAAAATTCTCATACATGCCTTCATTACATTGAGGCTCGACTATGCAAACCCATTGCTTGTCGACCTCCCCAGCTCCTTCCTCCACAGGCTGCAGATCATCCAGAACTCTGCAGCCCGTGTCCTCTCCCGCACTAGGCTCCGTGACTCTATCACCCCCATCCTTGCCCAACTCCACTGGCTTCCCATCACATGGAGGATACAATTCAAGATCCTGGTCCTCACCTTCAAAGCCCTCCATGGTCTTGTTCCCCCCTTCCTCTCCAACCTGCTAACCCCCTACCATCCTATTCGCTCCCTCCGCTCAGTGCGCTCCGGCCTACTTCACATCCCCTGCTTGCTTGCCTTACTATTGGTGGGTGAGCCTTCCGCCACTCTGCCCCCACCCTCTGAAACTCCATCCCGCATTGTCTCCGTGTCACCCCCTCCCTCACCACCTTCAAGACCCATCTCAAGACCCTCCTCTTCGACCATGCTTTCGATCTCCCTGCTTCCCCCTGCTCCGCCCTCCACCCTCCCCCACCCCGACCGCCAGCTCAGGTCCATAACTCTGTCTGTCCAGCACTTTGAGATGTCCTCCCGATGTGAAAGGCGCTTTACAAGTGTAATGTTGTTGTTGTTGTTATAAATGTAAAATTGTATTGCATAGGTTTGTGGAGCCAATACATGACTGGAGAGAATTCATAGTTGAAAAGAACACAGACTGCAGTCTGCTGGCCCCAGATATGGGCAGTTGCGAAGCTGATACAACAACAACAACTATATTACATTTGTATAGCACCTTTAACGTCAGGAAGGCGCTGTCAGTGTTTCAGACCTGAGCTGGGGGTCGGGATCGGGGAGGGTGGAGGACGGGGGTGGGGGAAAGAAGGGTGACCGAAGGCACGATCGAAGAGGAGGGTTTGAGATGGGTCTTGAAGGAGGCGAGGGAGGGGGTGAGGCCGAGGGACTGCAGGATGGAGTGCCAGAGGATGGAGACTGAGTAGCTGAAGGCTCGGCTGCCAACGATGGGATGGGCGAGGTGGGGTATGTGGAGAAGGCCGGAGCCCGCTGAGCGGAGGGATCGGGCAGGTTGGTAGATGGTTAGGAGGTCACAGAGGTAGGGGTGATCAAGGCCATGGAGGGCTTTGAAGGTGAGGACCAGGATCTTGAACTGTATCCTCCGTGTGATGAGAAGCCAGTGGAGTCGGGCGAGGATGGGGGTGATAGGGCCGCGAAGCCTTGTGCAGGAGAGGACACGGGCTGTAGAGTTCTGGATGAGGGAGGAATTGGGGAGTTTGCGTAGTTGAGCCTGGATGTTATGAATGCCTGTATGAGGGTTTCGGGGGCCTACACTGTGAGACAGTGGCAGAGCCGGGCGATGTTGCGGAGGTGGGAGAAGACAGAGCAGGTCATGGTACGGACTGACTCAGTGAGGTGGAGTGTGTATCCTTGGATGGTGATGCTGTCAGTGCCTGAGGTGTGGAAGTGCTAACGGGAGCCAATCAGGAGAGCTTCGGTCTTGTTGACGTTCAACTGTAGAAAGTTTGCTCTCATTCGGGACTTGATGTCTGACAGCCATTCTGTCAGGACAGCAGTGATCCTGGAGTCAAGGGTGGAGGCAGAGAGGTATAGTTGTGTGTCATCCACATACATGTGGAAGTTGACCCCATGTCTGCGAATGACACTTCATAATTTGCCATTTATGGAAAATAATAATTAGTAATATTGATTGAGCTTCTATTTCTCCTAAAACATTTAATTTCGAAGTACTGGACTCTGCTAGTTCACTTATAGTGAATACAGTTGCAGAAAAAAAATGATCTATACAGTTAGAGCTCCCCCTGCAGACTGTATAATGATAGTTCTGCATATTGTCCCCCAAGCACAAGAGAAGCAATTTGTCATGAAAATCTAGGTTAAGCTATGTCAATATGCAAACTGTGTACAAAACAGGCACGACACAGACATCTCTATAACATTAATAATATTAATAATCCTTGCATTAGATATAGCACCTAATCATGTCTTTGAGACGTCTCAAAGTGCTTCACAAAATATACTGTAAAGTGAATTGACTGCATATTTTGTGGGTGAAATGCGCAGCCAATTGAACACAGCAGTGTTTCACAAACAGTCATGGATTGAGTGACCAAATTATTCCTTTTTTAAACTTTTTTTGAAGGGATTATTATCCCCAGAAAAGCGATTCGCCAATTGATTGACAACCGGGTTCCTACTTACTGTTCGTTAAACAGAGGTGTATGCAGTAAGGAAACTTGCCTAATGTTTTGCCCTGACCAGGAATCAAACCCAGGTCCTCTTGCTTGCGAGGCAAGTGCTCTAACCACTGAGCTACAGGATGGATTATAACAAAAGGTGACTTAAACATTAAACACAGCTGTATTTTGTTTTGCAATAAAATAATCTTAAGTGCTTTTAAAATTTGGAGATATCCCAAAAAAATATTTTTAAGGTGCACGCCCAGTGGTGTAATGGGTGGATCTGCAGCTTACAGACTGGGAGCTGGTTAGACAGAATTACGCTCCATGATGTGTTTGCTGGTCACAGCTGGGGCTGCATGGAGAGATCAAATTGGTTTCTGAGGATGAGAGAGAGGGAAAAAGTTCCTGCTTCTGTCCTCCAACTTGATGTGCAGGTATGTGGCAGTTGGGTGGGCAGAGCTAGGCTTGACATTCCAGCTTCTTGGGATGTGCTCCCAACGTGAAAGGCGCGATACAAATGTAATTTTTTTTGTCGTTGTTGCCTGTAATGCTCTTTATAGTTGAGTGGTCTGCACATATTTACTGCCTATTTACTGTCACATAAACGATGGCCACTTGGACAGAATACAGGGAGGCAAACTGTGCCCATAATACCACATCCCAGCAAGAAGAGGTCAGAATAGAGGAAGAAATGCATATACATATGGGCAGGGAGGTGACCATAAGCCCGGTCAAAAAGGAAGGATTTCAGGCGGGATTTAGATAAGGGGAGAGAAGGGGCAATGCGGAAGGATTGTGGGAGAGTGTTCCAGAGTTTACAGTAAATTCTTGCAATAAATAATATTGTCCTAATCTAAAGGAATAGAAATGAGACATTTCCAGCAAACCAGCGTGACAATCCAGTTGAACTGATCAATGTGAGAAACACAGTGGGGCAGCAAACAATCATAAACTGGATTTTAACAGTGATAATGTTACATCATGTATTGCTATGGTTTCCGTCTTTAAATACAGAAGTTGGAGGGGGATGAGGAGTGGAGTGAACTGCGTTCTCTAATCAAACATGTCTGGTATCATTCCATAACCACATCTACAACCACTTGTAGGACATTGGCCAAAAATCTCCTTTGCATTTTTGCCATTGTGCTTTACACCTCACCAGCTGCATTCATGGATTTTTGAAATGTTTTGGGAAGATCCACTTGCTTTATTAGCTGCTTCAGGAACATGAAAATATTCACAGATACATTATCGCTGGCTGTTTTCGCCAATAGAATTGCATTTCTCATGTTCGAACACAATGAGCTCATGAAAACAAAAAAAATTCCCCTCCTCCTCTTCCGCTTCCTCCTCCTCCTGAAGGTGTTTGATGTTTTTTCACTTTCACTGGGGTATAGTTCAAATGGTACTTGTTGTCCTCTGGTATTTCACCCAATGGTCATTTTTGATGGGTGAGATGTGATGGTGGGTCTTGGCAGATTATTTGACTGAAATGACTTGGGGCCACAATAGGTCATCACAGCTGTCTTCCCTTCACATCCACACACAACTGTACCTTCTGCAGGGGTCTGCCTTATCCCATGTGTCTTGTCCCCTCTCTACCTAACTTCAAAAGACTTCAAAAAGTCTACCTTTTTGATCATCCCTAGGGTCATCTCCTCGTCCCTCTCCCACCCTCCCTGCTTGGTGTTCAGCACCATCTCTGTGAAGTGCTTTGAGCTATTATTGCATATGAATGGTGAGATATAATTGCAATTCTCACTGGACTATTGCCGTTGCTCATGTGACCATGAGAACAGGCATTTTATTACATTCATGAAATATGCTTTTCTCTTGTTTTTCATGAAAAGAGGAATATCGAGCATCAGAGGAAATTAATCTAAGACATTTTAGCTTTGAAGCAAAGTTATTTGAGAAATGGAAAAGTCACTCTAAGTCAACATGAAGAATCAGAGCTCTGGAACAAATCAATGTGAGGAACAAAAAAGTCACAGTATATCGATTGCGAGATGAGAATATTGGAGCAAATCGATGTGAAAAATTAGAGATCTGCAAAAGATTATTGTGAGAAATTAAAGCACTAGAGCAAATCATTGTGAGAAAGGAGAGCAGGGCAGCAAATCAATGTGAAAAATGAGAAACCTGGAATAAATCACTGTGAGAAATGACAGTATCACAATAAAGTGATCTGAGCATTCGAGTAGAGCATTCCACAGAAGCACCAATCATAGCAGGAAGGCGTTGTTTGGTCACTCAATCCACGACTGTTTGTGGGATGCTACTGTGTGCAATTGGCTGCCGCATTTCACCCCAAAAATACAGTTAATCTGCTTTACAGTATATTCTGTGAAATGTTTTGCGATGTCTCAACAATGTCATAAGGTGCTATATCAAATGCAAGGATTATTACTATTATTGTATGATAGAAAGTCAAAAACCTGTCTAGTACTTGCTACTCTAACTTGATTTTTTCATTCCATTTAGGGTGAGGATGAGGTACCAGTCGATCATGCACTAAGAACATACATTTTGTCTGATTATGATGAAGAAACCACTTAGCTCAAGTATAAAAGATTTTTTTTCGAATGTTGTTCTGTAGTTTGCCAAGCAGAGCTACAGTGTTAATATTCAGTATTATACTCATTGCTCAGTGTTATACTCATGGCTCAAAAGATTATTGTGAAAAAATAAAGCATCAGTTTACGCTGTCCTCTGCATCACTTTCCCTGCTCTCTCTTCCAAACATACCTCTCTGACCATTCATTCACTACTAAATTCCACCCACATGTGTTCATTGTCCACCACTCCTCTTGTTAAACCCTTTGCGACCTGTTACATGAATGGTACCGAACTGTGATGTAAATGCAAGTTATTGTTGTACTGGACACATTCAGGCTTTGCCGAATCCGAAGATCTTAATAATGACAAGTATTCCTTGCTTTGGGACTGCTGACCTTCCCTCTGCTTTTCTAGCCAAATTCATTTTTGTTTTCTGTCCTTGTGTATATCAATTGTGATAACCAGATGAGCTGAAAATCAATATCTGAAGAGAATTTACAATCTTTCTATAGAAGTTGGTGAGCAATATCAATGTCAATCTTTCTTGACCAAGTTAATGACTTGGTCTTTGTCAGGGATTAAAATATTAAACTGTCTGTCCACCCCGTTGCCAATTCTGCCTGTAACTGCCCACGGTGATCTGGTCATTGCTAATGGCATGTTAAGATGGGAAGTTAAGCATCCAGTAGCAGGTGGTATCATCAGCAAAGAGACACCATGTCACTAATACAAAGAAAGCACATATTTCTCCAAAAGGTCAATATAATTTTTTTAAAATTAGAACTAAGTCTAAAACTAAATCCAGAAAACAGTTATTTATACAAAAGTATTGTACAATTATTGAATAAAGATCACAGATGCAAAATCAACACTTGTGTTTAAAAGGGAGATAAACAGATAGTTGTAAGCATTGTTTAAAAGAGAGATGGACAGATAGTTGTAGACATAATTGTAAAGGTAAGGATTTTAAGTCATATGTAAAAAGGTGGGAAATGAGATTGAATAGGTTAAAAAGTTACAATTGGCTAATATAATATCAGAGCTAGCTCAATGGGCCAAATGTCCTATTTCTGTTCCCATGTGTTTTTCCCTCATAGCACTATGTGTACTATACTAGTCCCTGGGTATGTTCTGTTTCATTCTGCAACATTAGTAGTTTTCTGAATTATCTTAACATTTGGCCACAAAAATGGCCTCTTGTCAGTAGTGTTGACAAGAACGAATAATTCTTCTATCTATCTATCTCTTCTCTGTGTTATTTGAATGCGACAATATATTCACACACAAATGAGTCTGCACATCAACCACCTGCAACTCTTCACATTCGTCTTCAAATCCCTTCATGCCCTGGCGCCTCCCTACCTCTCTGACCTGCTTATTCCCCAACCCATTGCCCGCTGCCTCTGCTCCACTGGCAGCAGCCTCCTGCTTCTCCCTCATGCTGTCTGTTCTATCATCTGTGGCTACACTTTCAGCCACTATGCCCTGAAACTCTTGAACACTTTCCCTCTATCCCTCCGCCTTGCCCCTTATTTTCGCATCTTCAGGTCGCGCCTGAAGACCTTTTTCTTCTACAGTGGCTACAGTCACCTCCCCCCTCTCCCCGGCTCAGCATTGAAATCCACCACTGTCAAGCGCTCTGGGACCCTACTTGAGGAGCACTATATAAATTCAAGTTGTTGTTGAGATCCCTTACAGATTTTATCCAGATCTTCATAGTTATTCAATATCATAGTGATTTGTATCATTGCCTGAAGAAACTGAAAAGGCAGACGTGGCTTATTTTATTTTTAGCAAACACCATCAAAAATGTACTGATCTGATTGGCAATAAATTTTGTACGTAGCCACTTACTAACCTTAATCCACCACTGGGTTTTTATTTGAGAACAAGAATGCACAAAACCACCCCATTAAGAGCTTTACCAAAAACATTCATTAACAACAACAATTTTACATTCATATAACACCTTCATGTCAGGAAGACGGACATCTCAAAGTACTTGACACAGCTGACTGGGCTCCCGAGTTTGGGATTAACTGAGAAAATGGAAGGGGAAAAGAAAGGTGACCAAAAACATGTATTGCCCGATCACCCCCATCCCCGCCTGGCTTCACTGGCTCCCCATCCCCAGAGGATCAAGGTTAAAATCCTTGTCCTCACCTTTAAAGCCCTCCATGGTCTTGCTCCTCTTTACCTCTGTGACCTTCTAAAACCATACCAACTTATCCACTGCCTCTGCTCGGTGGGTACTGGCCTGCACTATGTTCCCTGCCCTACCCACTCCACCATCGGATGTTGGGCCTTTCACCTTTCTGCCCCCACCCTCCAGAACTCCATCCCAGAGGCCTCTGCCTTGTCCCTCATTTGCTTCCTTCAAGACCCAGCTCAAGACCTTCCTCTTCGGCTGCACCTTGAGTCATCTTCCCACCACTACAATCCTGCCATCCCCCCCTGCCCCTTGACTCTAGCTCACAGCCTGGGTGCAAACCCTTGAATGTCCAGGGTCTTGGGATGTCCTCCTGATATGAAAGGCGCTATATAAATGCAATTTGGTGTGTTGGTAGAAAAGATAAGACTTAAAGTGGGCCTTGATGGTGGGGAGAGAGGCAGTAAACTAGTTCACCGATGGTGGAATAGATCAGGTGGGGTTCATGAAGCAACTTACTGTTAACTTCAGGACTGATTTGAAAACAATTGGTAATGTAATGTAAAATCTATTCCGATAATTATGTTAACATAGCTTTTTTTTATGAAATGCCTAATAACATGAGAATTAAAGTACTCACATCTGCCAATAATGCTTCTTTTATTACTGATCCACTGCAGAGTTATGTGTGTAAAGCAGCATGACTAAATTATTGCAATAAAGCAGATGTTTGTTATTAAAATAAAGAAGGAATTAAACTGCCTTAGCAAGTACTTCATTCAATATTCTGCAGTCTTTATCACATTCATTATTTTGTTGCTAATCCCTAGAGTTTCTACTTTGAACTTTTTGTTCGTACTGAAACTGCTTCATGAAAGAATCAGTGTGAAATTAAAAAAAACAAAGACGAGAAAACATTAAAAATGTTAACAGTTGGTTGGACGCTTGGGCTGGATTTGTCTCTTACCAGGTATTTGCAGTTTGTAAGTAAATTTACCAACAAAAATACAAATACCTGCCAAGAAGATATTTATTTATTACCTGCCACTATTAATAACATATTTACTGCCAAAAAAGTAATTTGGTACAGCGAAATAATGGAATTGACTCCCAGCAAAAACAAAGAATGCCATACTATTTAACTCCTTTAAAAAAAAAGTTAGATAAAATATCTGGTTTGAATGAAACTGCAGGTTTAAGAGATGGTATAGACTGGAATGAGCAAATATTTCAGCACTGGAGAGCAGTTGGACCTTCGGCTGTTAGGTCTGAAGAGGAGAGAAAATCTTGGCTGTCACAGGCCAGGGTTCAATAATGTGGCAATAGATGAATATTATGGACCTTTTATTTACATGAGAAAATAGGATATTTTTAGGAATAATGTCACTATGCCCAGCAGTCCCATTCTTTTTGATAAAATAATCCCACTTAACTCCTTCTCAAAGGTTCTTCTCCTTCCCACAATCTTTAAATAAAATACATTTCAGTGTTTTCCTCCAATTTTCTCCCATCCCGGGTGCCTGTCACGTTTGGGCTGTCTTTTGTGTCTTTTCTTATACAAGAAGAACCTCAGTGCAATACATGCCCAGTGATGTATTTCTCCATTGCTATAGCAAAGTGCCTGCCAAGCATTTTGTTGAAATTGTGACCCCATGGTATGAACAATATTGAAAATTTGCCTTGGAACTTTTAATACAAACCTGCAATATACCACTCCATACTGCAGAAATACTGAAATAGGATTTCTGTCCCACTAGTACATCTACATGTAGGAATGTCACTAATTTATTATTATTATTATTATTATAATTTTATGGCAACTTGAATAACCCCAATATTGTTTCTGTTTTACCTCACTTGGTAAACAATATTATGTAACTAGCAGTGTGGAAAGGATGCTAAGGTGGTCAATACTGGAGAGGGTGAGCCTGTGCCACATAAATATGGTGACAACAACAACAACAACAAGATTCCATTTATAAAGCGCCTTTCACGTCAGGAGGACGTCCCAAGGCGCTGCACAGTTGGGTCATGACCTGAGCAGGGGGGAAATGGTCAGGGTGACCAAACCAAGCGTTTCTCCTTTGTGCAGGAAGTGGAAGGACGTCTGAGATACTGCAGAGAAAGCTGTTGAGATTGGTATGTTAGCAGCTGGTAGACCAGGGAGGCGTGAATACTGTATGCCTGAGCTGGGTGGAGTGGGAGAGAGGCAAAGAGGACTGATTTTGAACTCAGGTGATCTGTGGGGTCTGATAAAGTGAAGCAATATAGTCTGTACACGCCAGGGACTCTGGGGGAAGGGCAAGCTGAAACCTTCTCCCCATAATAAAAACTGATGATTTCCCAAACTAAGTCCATCTTTGCTCATTCAGTTCTGTCTGACCCCTGATTCTTCATTATAATAATAACTGTAAGGGCTCCCCATAAAAATATTTAGACAAGTATTATGCTTATCAGGAGTGACAGAGTGCAAAGCTATAGAAATGTCGCAACAACTATGTTTACTGACACACAACAAAATAGGTCATATTTTTACTTCAAACAAGTCATTCCTAATAGTTATGACTGGCACTTCACAAACTTGTAAATTAACTAAAGCTGGATTTCCATAGCTTTCAGGAAAACACCTTCAGGGTACTCATCACTCATTTTTCATATATGATTCGTGACATTGTGGGCCTGGCTGAGTAACTCTTGCTTCCAAGTCAGAAGATTGTGCTTTCAAGCCCCAAGTCGGAACTTTTAGTTCATAGTCCAGGCTGATTCGCTAGTGTAGTATGCTGGGGATGTGCTTCATTTTCAGAGGCGCCTGCCTTGGAATGAGATGTTAAAGCAAGGTCCTGTCTGCCTGCGCAGGTAGATGTTAAAGATCCCATGGCACCCATTTGAAAAGAGAAAATTGTTTCTCCTGGTGTCATGGCTTACTATCCTACAGATAGAATTGGTCATTTATCTCTTGGCTGTTTGTGGATGCTTTGAGACATCTTCCTGATGTGAAAGGTACTATATGAAATGCTTTTTTTTTGCTTGTTAATAATAAACATTGCTTTTTTGCAGGAAACACTGCCGCTAGTTCATGCATGACAATAAGGTCATTGAACAATTAACCTGAAGGATTGCTTGCCAGGACACTAAGTGAAAGTCCCTGCTTCAGATTTTATCATAATAATAATTATAATTATCTTAACATGTGATACAGCGGATTTCATGTGGGGAGGCCACCTCAAAGCACTCCTCAGGACGTACAATGTTTAACGATTGTGTATTTTGCAGGCGATTGTGTAACAGCTTCTCAGGGCGCGGGGGACACACACGCTGTGGGCTGGGGACCGGCGTGTGGTCGCCTCCTCGGCAGAGACGCTTATTTGGAAGAAGGCGGCGTCGATGGGGTGGCCATGCCCGGCCCGGCCCAGGGTTCGAGTCAGGTCGAGGTTTGGCCTAGGCCAGGCCCGCGCCGGCGCGGAGGCTCCAGGCGGCGCCTGTTGGGAGCGTAAAAGGCGCAAACGAGTTGCCCTCAGGAAAGGGCACCGTTGAGGGCTCAGTGCTGCTCTGGATGGAGGAGCTGTAATGATGGAGCACCAGCCCAGACAGACCGAGCTGAAGTCACTGGGTGGCGACCCGCACCCACCCAGACATGAAACACTGCTAATTTAAGAAGTGTCTTGATGTAATGATGGTGTGGGCTCTGCCAGGACAAGATCGGATGGTCTGAAGAGCCTTCTCTATCCAGACCAGTCCTGGTGACCTTGTGACTCGAGGCACCTGTCAGTGACGCTGGTAACTCGAGACAGGGCTCCTGAATCACGCATGCGCGTGCGCCCCGCCAGCCAGCCAGCCAGCGCGAGCACGCACGCACGCACGGCGCACGCACGGCTGACGTCCCTCGTTGTTATTGTTGCTGCACAGAGGCAGCGTGCGCGCTGACGTCAGTGAGTTTTGCGCAGTCCCGGCTCGCGCGGGGGGAGAGGCTTCACTATGTCGGCAGCGGGTTCGCCGCAGTCTGCGGGGTAAGTGCCTCAACTGAACACGGCCTCCTCCGCGCTTTGTACCGAAGGCGATTGATCGAGCGGGGCCGCCGGGGCGCGGTGGTGGGGTGGGCGGACACGCTGTGGGCCGGGGACCGGCGTGTGGTCGCCTCCTCGGCAGAGACGCTTATTTGGAAGAAGGCGGCGTCGATGCGGTGGCCATGCCCGGCTCGGCCCGGCCCGGGGATCGAGTCAGGTCGAGGTTTGGCCTAGGCCAGGCCCGCGCCGGCGCGGAGGCCCCAGGCGGCGCCTGTTGGGAGCGTAAAAGGCGCGAACGAGTTGTCGCGGCCCAGGGCCGGGCAGCGGCGGGGAGATGAGATTTGCAGCCTCGGCCGTGTCCTGACGGCCTGAGGGGGAAACGCCGTCAGCTCCGAGCAACGCGACCTCTCGCCAGTCACACACACGTACACCGCGGGCCCCCGGCCCGGCTCCGGCCCGGCCCGGCCCGCTCCGGCCGGGGGGGGGGATACACCAGGGGCGGCGAGGGAGCGCGGCGTCGTCTCTCCCTCGGTGCGTGACCTCGTTTTCTCTCACAGCCATGTTCACTTTGCCAACTGTAACTCAAGGGAGGAGGAGGGATTCAAAATGTCGCAGAGAACGAGAGAGAGAGAAAGAAAGAAAGAGAGAGAGAGAGAGAGAGTTGTACTCGCGTTCAATCTGAACAACTTCGCGCCCGAGTTTGTTTTGTGTTTTTGTCGCTCGCTCCTCCACCACCTTCCAGAAGATTTTGCTGTTCGCAGCTCTCGCTGTTGCTATGTTGATCTCGAATGCGTTTCGGTCCGGTTTCATGCGAGGACAAACGGCCGTGTGGGTTGTCAATCCCCTTTGCAGCTTCCGACGTGCAGCTCAGCCGCGCTATAAAATGTCATCGAGCGGAAATATTCTCGTGTTTCACCATCGTGTATTGAAATGCTTACCTGATCGTGGTGATCGATTTTGATTTTTTTTTTTTTTTTGGGGGTTGGGGGTGGGGGATTCGTTTTGCGCTTCGCCCACAAACTGCAGTCAAACAACTTGACAGTATAATCTGTGAAGCGATTTGAGACGTCTCCTCCCACACGATAAGGTGCTATATCAAATGCAAGGATTATTACTGCTATCGTCGAGTTCATATATTAATAAGTTGCTGTCCGAATGTTGAACAGTGGCTACTCAGTATTACTGCTTACACTTGATTGTTAATATGGTACATTTTGTTAGATTTTCTTCACTGTTTTATATCCTCGGACCCATGTTCGAGTACGCCATGGGATGACGTTGTGATTCTGTAGCACTATTTCCGTTTTAAACTAACACTTTGCTATAGATTTATAGTTTCAGTAGTTTTTGAAACGTTCCATTATAAAAGGTGTAGCTCAGTGGTTAGAGCACTTGCTTTGCAAGCGAGAGACCTGAGTTCAATCCCAGGCAGGTCAGGGCGAAACCTTGGGCAAGTTTCCTTACTCCACACAGAGCCTAATAATAATCCCTCCAAAACCAAAAACAATAATAAATTGGTCATTCTCAATCTACGACTGTTTGTGGGACATTGCTGTGCGCAATTGGCTGCCGCGTTCACCCACAAATATACAGTCAATTCACTTTACAGTGTGTTCTGTGAAGCGCTTTGGGACGTCCTCCCGACGTGAAAAGCGCTATATCAAATGCAAGGATTATTATTATTAAGTGAGAGACCTGGGTTTGATTCCTGGCAGGGCAAAACGTTGGGCAAGTTTCCTTATTCCACACACCTCTGTTTACCTAGCCGTAAGTAGGAAACCGGCTATTAATGATTGGCAGATTGCTTTTCCGGCAGTGATAATTCCTTTTTTTAAAAAAAATTGATCTCTCTGTTTGTGGGACACTGCTGTGTGCAATTGACTGCTGCATTTCTCCCACAAAATATGCAGGTCAATTCATTTTACAGTATATTCTATGAAGCGCTTTGAGATGTCTCGAAGACGTAATAAGGTGTTATATCAAATGCTAGAATTATTATAAAAGTGAAAGATAGGTTAACTATTCAGCTATGTCCCTCCATCAGAGTTTAACTTTGTTAATTCAGTGTTTTAGCTATTACTTTGTTGCACCTTCTTGTTCAATGTTTGCCTCTTGTAAATTGTTGGTGTCACTCCTGCTACTGAAGGGCACAACTGCTAAGCTGTGTGAACTTGCTACTTGTTGCTTACAGCTGGATAGATGCCAAGCATTGATAACCAAACGAAGTGGCTAAAATGCTCTGCTTTGACCAAGTCGGAAAATGCGGTATATAGTAAGGTTTTGTGGACCTTCCCAGAGAGTGGGAAAGGTACTAACCCCAGCATATTAGTCAGTGTTTAGCTGCCCAACTATAAAAATAAATGGTGGCTTGTACAACATCAGGAGTAGTAGCATATGGTTGGTGTGGTTAAACAAGCTTACTAAATAGAAATTTGAAAGGTGTTGTTCTCTTACCAATAAGATGGTGGTGTTAAAACATATTTCGTAATGTTTATAATTCCAATGCGTTGGTACTAAAAATGGAAACATACATGCAACAATTTTTTCAGAATTTTGAGTTCGTCAATGTATGCGATTAGAAAACTGTTTGGGAGGAAAATTGTACCAATTATGCCTCGATTACCTGTGAAAATTAGCAAGTTAACCTACACTTATGAGAAATAGCTTTTTAGAACAACAAGAAGTTGCATTTTTATAGTGTCTTTTATGTTGGGAAGACATCCCAAGGCACCGACAGTTAAGGATTTGCACCCAAGCTCGGTATTGGAGTCGAGGGGGATGGACGTAAGAGGATGACCAAAGGCGCTGTCAAAGATGGGCCTTGAAGGAGATGAGGGAGGGGGCGAGGCAGAGGGTTTCTGGGATGGAGTTCCACAAAGTCAGGGCAGAAAGAGACCGCTGATAGTAGTGCAGGCAGGACGGGGTACATGGAGCGAGCCAGTGTCAGTTGAGTGAAGGGAGTGGATAGGTTGGTAATGTTTCAGTAGGTCACAGAGGTAGGAAGGAGCAAGACTGTGGAGCTCTTTATAAGTGAGGATCTTAATACGAACCTTTGGGGATGGGGAGGCAGTAAAGGTGTGTGAGAATTGGAGTGATCAACTCACGGAGCTTGATGCAGGAGAGGCCCTGAGCTGTGGAGTTCTGAATAATCTGCAACTTGTGGAGGGAACTCTGGCGAGCAGGCAGTTAGCTTCGTCAAGCCGGGATGTAGTGAAAGCATGGATGAGGATCTCGGAGGCCCGAGGGGAGGGGTAGTTGTGGAGGTGGGGAAAGGCAGAATGGGTCATGGTGCAATGTGGATTTAAAAGATAGTTGAGGGTTGAACAAGGTACCTAGATTCTGTACTTTTGAGGTGGAGAGTGCATTCCTAAATAGTGATGCAGTCAGTGCCTGAGGTGAGGCGCTGCTGACGGGAGGGCCTTGTTCTCGTCTGCATTTAACTGAAAAAAATTGGCTCTCATCCAGGACTTCATGTCTGATAGACAGTTCGTTAAGACAGCAGTGATCCTGGAGTCGAGGTTGTGAAAGTAAACCCCATCCTGTAACAAGAAAAAATTAAAGTAAAATGAGTGATCCTATAAATTTGCCAAATTAGTTATTTCTACAAAGAACTTATTAAGGGGTAGCTTACAGTACCACGCCTTCCCTCCTCCCTCTATGTGGCAAGTTATTGATGAAAACTATAATGTTGGGTGAAGAGAATTGAATACTTTGAGTGAACAAATTGTGGTCTGACCATTTACTTCTGGGTGGTTATTAACAGATAATATTTTCAAGTTTAAGATACTCAAAATAATCTGTCATATTGTGGAAGGCATGATTGGGGCCAATTGTTTTAATGAATATAGCTGTATTAACAAACAAAGCTGATATGTTCTTTTTGTCTTTGCAGGCGTCGTAGTAAATGGGATCGTCCAGAACCAACTCCTGGGTTGATGGCAGGACAAATTGAGTCTCAGATGAATAGTTTTCCTTCAGCGGGCTCGCAAGTTGGGGTTCATGGTGGAGTTTCCTCTATGTCTTCATCAGTCAGCCAGTCTCCTCAATCCTCATCAGAAGCTTTAGGGGCAGCTGCTGCTGCCGCTGCCAAAATTAATGCCATGTTGATGGCAAAAGGGAAACTAAAGCTACCACAGACTCCAAGTGGCAGGGAAAACCGAGTAAGTAATGAATTATTTTATTCTGCCAATATTTATCCCATCACTTCTTTTCCCCGTTCCTTGAAGACTTCTACTGGGGCATAGGTTACACAGGTGTTGGGACGGCACCAACACAATCCCACAGGGTAATTATTCACAATTGTACCTCAACTGTGAGTCTTGGCAGGCTATTTTAAGGTGCTTATCACAGTTGAGCCTTATCCTGTCCTCACCTGACACTTACACAACTTACACTTTCTAGCAAGGAGTCACTTGTGAGTCTCTATCAATATGTCAGTCTTTGAACAGTTTCTACTTCAGAATTCTTGGTGTACCTACTGGATATCTCTGGTTTCAATAGATATGCATCATAACAAAATGATCTAAAGGCTTAAAGTTTAATGACTTAAAAAATCTAGTGGAAGGGTTATGTTTGAACAATTGAACAGGACTCCTGACTTACATATAGTATTTTCCAGCTGTAAATATATGTATTAATACAACAATGTGAATTGAGTGTCTTAACTGCTAAACAATTTGGAAATTGATTTTGCTTTTGAAAGAGAGAACCTGCATTTTTAGAGTCTTCTGTCAGTTGAAAACTCAGAAGCGCTTCATAGGTAATTAATGTCAAGTATGGTAACTGAGTTTATAGGGAGCTATTAGCAAGGTTCCAGAAACAGCTACAAGTTGAATTGTAGGGAATTACATAGAATGATATATATGCATGGAAGAAGGCCATTGGGCCCAACAAGTCCATGCCAGTGAGCCTTCACTTTTGCTATTGCCCTAAATGAGCCCCAAGAACTCTCTTTTTAAGAGATCTGAAAACATTATTTTGGAATTGTAGAGGAATTGATCTGGAGATTGGACATTTTGTTGATTAGTGTTAGAGAACATCTTCATACTTTATTTCTCACTTGAAATTTCCTGATTAGCCACTGAGGACATTCATCCTAAATGATAAGTGCTATATAAATGCTTTGAGAAATTTAGCCTATCTGAAAGGTTTTAATTTAAGTATAAATTGTTGGGGACTGTAACTACAAATATATAAAAAATTAATGAGAGTGGGCAGCAGCTATTCATTGTATATTCTAATTCAAAAGCGTGGGGTGGTGGGGGCGGAACTGGGTTGGTTGGGCAGTCTGCTGTGAAGGAAGACAGTTTGATTTTATCATGCTTGGCTCTAGTTACTTGTGAACTGGGGAAACAATACTTTCCAAGTTGTCTTGCTTAAGTTGTTAAGTTGATTACAGTGGTGAGACATCACCTTGTTGACGAGTATCAACAAGATAATAATAATCCCTCCAAAAAAACCAAAAAACAATAATAAAAAAAATTGGTCATTTTCAATCTACGACTGTTTGTGGGACATTGCTGTGCGCAATTGGCTGCCGCGTTCGCCCACAAATATACAGTCAATTCACTTTACAGTGTGTTCTGTGAAGCGCTTTGGGACGTCCTCCCGACGTGAAAAGCGCTATATCAAATGCAAGGATTATTATTATTATTATTGCTAAAATAAATCCTTGTAAAGAATGCAAAACTACATTTCATTTAAAGAGAATAAGACGGTAGAATGAGAAAAACATTCAGCTCCCTCTGTTATTCTGGTTTGAGTCACACTGGCTATCTTTTTCTTGTTGAGGCATACATTCTTCTGCTTAGTTAGGAATCAATCAATTTGTCTTTCTTTACTCCAGATAAGTAATTGATTACTGTAATAGTAGCAGAGCTGTTCTGTAATTTGGTCTAACCTATTTGTTCTCTTGAACTGATTACTTAAAAGTATTTTCCTTCCAGTCAATGATGCCTTCAAAATTGATGTCCCATCTAAAGAACAAAGATGATATGGTGGTGGCTGAGATTGAAATAAATGATGTTCCTATTGTCTGTAGAAATCTGCTGACCAGAGGCCATACTCAAGATGAGGTAAACAATGAATGTTATACATTTTGAATAATTAGATTAGCATATTTAGCTTGTTACAGAAATTTAAAGCAAATTTGTGATGCAATTCTGTTCTAGTAAATTAAGTGAGCAAATATCTGCTAAATTAACAATGCATTGAAATTCGGTTAATTGAATATAGGATATTTGAATAGTTAAGTTTATTGAATAGAAAGTAGAAATCCAAAACAATTTCCACACCTAATCTAAGAATGCAGATCAGTTAATTGAATATTGGATATATGAATAATTAAGCTTATTCAATAATTTTCCCTGTGACCATTTGTATAAAAACAATTAATCTTGAGTCAGGATAAATGCACAGTCCCAAATCACTGCCTTCTACAATACAGCGTGAACGTCTTCATCATCCCCTCTCTTTCCTACACTCCCCAGAGAGGTTGCGGGCAATTGGTCGATTGGCCACGTATGAGTGTGGATGGGTCTGATTGGTGGAGGAGAGTGCTTTTGGTTCCAGTGTGGTTGGAGGCCAAATGGCTTGAGTTCTGGGAGACGAGGCTCCTCTTATATGTAGTCCAGTTAAATTAATGAATCATTTTTTGCTGTCAAATTGAGTATTCATTTAACTGAATTTCACTGTATGATGAGTATTGCTTTTCAAGTTCAGGGTTTACTCGTGTTTTTGAATAGTTGCAAAGATCTATTCAATCCCCAGTTGTTGGATAGCAGTGCAAACATCATGTCCTTATTTTGTATTTGATTAATTGAATAAGACATATGTTGGCATATTGTGATTTTATATTTTTATAGTAGGAAATCCTTGCATGGCTGGTGTCATTTGCTGCACTCTTAATGAGCCCTTATTTTGGCCTCTTGTTTAGTCAATCAGTTATGATTAGAAACATATAGAATAAATTAGTAATGTGGAAACAGTTTTTAATACTGTCTTGCATGTTTATGACACTTCTTATTTAATGTGTTCTTTTCTGTAGATAAATAAGATCAGTGGTGCTGCTGTTTCCACTAGAGGGCGTTTCATGACAGTAGAAGAGAAGCAGATGGCTGTACAAGGGTAAGGAATACACTACTGTTGCAGTTTAATAAGAAATCTTTTTTTTAAGTAATTGTATTGCTTTAGACAAAATAAATGTTTTAAGGGATAAGTGTCCTTTGATTAAATGTTCCAAAATATTTGTGATTTATTGAACAGCTATTTTGAGATGCAAATAGATTCCACAATGTTTTGGAATTTAAACAGAACTATACTTAGCCTTTGGTTAGTCAGTAAGTTTGCTAAGATGACATTTTGTTTAGCTCAGTGAAAGAGGTGGGTGTCAAAGTCAAATTACCAGCAGCTCGTCTCTCACTAAATCCTCCAGAGCAGCAGGAAGTTCTGGTTCTCAAGCTTTCAACATGAATGAACATCAGAAGTTGGAACCATGAGAACTAATAGGTTCTGGGTGTACTCGCACCGTATTCACAAAATGGTTTTCTTTGTTTAACTCTGTCGTTAGTGCCTAACTCACTAACACGGGCAAATAAAATGTTTTGTGAATCTTAATTTAAAATGCAAGTTCTATTAGTTGTTGTAATTTAGGAATATGTGGCAAAATTTGTAATTGTTTGGTAGCAGTTTGGCAGTCAATTGGTAACAAAAAGGCCAAAAGTGTTCATTTGTGGTAATCCACACATTTTTACTGTATTACTGTTAGTGTAGTTGAAGAGTAGTTTAAATGCTTTTAAGTTAATTTTAATTTTTTTTTAGGGATCGACCCCTCTACCTTTGCATACAGGCCCAGACGCAGGACAGCGTGGACAGTAAGAAATGCTGAAAATACTACTTGTTTAATTTTATTGTGACTAAAATTCAGTAATTCTTCTGTATCACCTGGGTACTGATGCTAGTATATATAGTTTTTACCACATAATTGCTCACATTGTGTACCCGAAATACTAGCAAGATATCTTTCATTATTGTAATGTTCAGAATTTATACACTAGATGGTTTATGATTTGATTTTCTGAACTAGGACCGTTTGATTTGTAACTGCCTTTAACACCTGAAAAACATTATTTTAGTTTTATGCCTATCATGGTTATTCTGGAATAAAATAATTCTGGATATTTGAATGGAAACTGGTCCCAAACTGTGTACTTTTATAATTAACTTTCTGGATATCAACATGAAATACTTGGGGGAATGGGGGCCACCAGGCATTTTCTAACTTGAATTTGAGAAGTAAAGTTTCGTAATTTGAAGGGTATTATTCTAGATGTGGAAACTTCATACGGCATACAAACACTCAATGGCCAGGAAAGGTGCTGTTGGGAATCGTTTACACCTTTACCTAAACAAATGCTGTATAATTTACAATAAAAAAAATCAGGGATCGCACTTTTCTATAGGTTCTTGAGACTTGCAAATATTTTGCATTTCTGCACCAGTATAATGAAAGCTTAGCAGATGTAAAGTAATTGCCGTGATTTGTTTGTACATTGGTAGAGTAAATGCTCAACATTGTTTGCCTGATTTTGGTCTTCAGCACATGCACAGTCTAAGAGCATGTACAGAACATCAAAATCTGGTGTTAGTTTTAAATGTAAAAAAACAGTTAACACTTGGCTTTTTTGAAAAATCTGTTGAAAGTTCCTGCGCTGTCCATTGAGTTTTCAATAGATTATGGTGACTGAGCCCAATGTGATTGAAATTCAGTGCATTTCTATACTCTGCAGGCGTAAATCATACAGGTGAAAACACCTCTGAAGTGGTGTTGGGAGTGAGGCTCCAATGCAATCTGCACTGCCTCAACTTGAATTTACACTGCATGTTTGTGGTGATTTGCTGTTAAATAATGCAGTACAAACGCTGCATTAATATCTTCAATTATGTTAGAAATAGTTTGGAAATATTTCATATTTGATTCTTTTGAAATTAATCAGCTGTGTACAATTTCCACTGGGACGAATGTGTGAGGTAAGATATTGAATATCTTTCCTCCTTTTAGGAGCCGTAAACAGGATCAAGGAAATTATTGGTGAGGCATTAGCAAAAGAAGCCATCAAACAACCTCTTCCACTTGTAGTAACGTCTACTGCAAGGAGCAATTCCATGACTTCACATAACCATTCTCCATACAATTCCTTGCCTCAGTTACAGCCAGGGGTAGGTGATATTGGCTAAACTGGATTTATTGTGACGGGCTTATAAGTGGTTTGTAACATTGCATTTTTTTTAAAAAAAGTGATGGGAATAAAAAAAACTATTATACAGTTAAAAATACTTAAGGCTTAAACCTGGTGTATAATAGTTCAATTTGTGATTTCTCATTGTATAGAATTCCTGATTGAAAGACAACAAAGTGCAAATTCCTGATATTGTATATGTTTTATTCAAATTATTTAATTTTAATACCAAATTCACTAGTTAGTTTTACACATTAATAATCCTGTGGCCTTTTTGAATAACCTTGTCAAAATGCATTCATTTGGGATAATATAAAACATAACATTGTGTATATTGCATAAAGCAATAATATTACTTTTAACTTTAAATGAATAGTATTTCTACCAAAAAAAGTTTGATGCATTCCTGCAAATGTACTGAAAACATTCAGATATGAGGATGGAGAGGAATATGAATAGTGTTGCATTTAATGCTGATATTGGATTTTTTATTTAAATTCAACTCTTTTTTTACAGATGCATTTTGTTCAGGACAAAATCTTTGTCGGTCTGGAGCATGCTCCTACTTTCAATGCAAAAGAAAAAGTGGAAGGCCCAGGAGGTTCCTATCTGCACCATATTCAGAATGAAACAGGGGCCAAAGTTCATCTCAGGGGCAAAGGATCAGGCTTCATTGAGCCAACATCTGGAAGAGAAGCATTTGAACCGATGTATATTTATATCACGTAAGTTATACTTCTTCTACAAAGTCTAGTGCAGTGGTTGGGGAAGGTTGTAGTGAATTTTGAAAACAGCTGTCCAATTTATCACAAATATTATTGGTCCGTGGAAAAAAATTAAAACCGTCCCTGCTTTTCTGTTGTCTGCTCGCCATGTTTGTTGCTTCCTTTCTTCATTTCAATATTCTTTTGGGCTCCAGCAGTGTCCCATTCTGCTGTACAGTTCCATGGGCGTCATTACCTTGTTCAAGTTTCATTCCTTAAGTGAATGAAGATGATAGATGTTGGTAGGCTATTGGAACATGGGAGTAATGAAACAGCCCACAAAGGTGTGGTTACTGAAAAGCATTCAAGCCTTCCCTACCATGCACCCCTGTCGAGGGAAAACTGCTGACAATGGGGACCCCACAAGAGCTCTGGCTATGATCAGCTACATCAGCACACACTAGCGATCAAACCTGGCCCTTTATATTCTATCCAATTCAATCTTACATGAGTTTGTTGAATTGATCCATCAAATCTTCAGAGGAGCTACAATTCCTATTCTAAATAGTTATGCCATAATTAAGCTCGTTTCCAATCGGTATCTGTTTTTTGTTCAGAAAAATAGGTGACTATTCAACAATTAAATTAGAAAGAAATTTAAATAATTCATTGTCCTTCATCATATGTATTACTGTTTATTAAAGTACCTTTGATGTCTTGTTTTTACAGCCATCCTAAGCCAGAAGGTTTAGCAGGGGCAAAAACATTGTGCGAAAACCTGCTTCAGACGGTGAGTAGAGGGTTCTTCGATTTTATAGTTAGTGTTCCCTGATGTGCCAAAGGCCAAGTGCTTAAATGACTCTAGATTGAGTTGGATTTGATTTTGTATTGGGCATAAGCACATTGCAGTAAATGGGAATCTTTTGGATCTGTTAATGATCATTAAAGAAATTTGATATTATAATGCTGTTTAAGAATATGTTCTTACTATTTACCTAAATGGTTTATCAAAAATTAATATGCATTAATTATCCCTTACATATTTAGGGAACTTAATTGAAATGTTACAATATGTTAATAGTAAAATGGTGTTTTGAGTTGATGATAGGTGTATAATCTTGGAAGTTAACATTATTTGGCCATTCTAGTATGTTGCAACACCAGAATGCAAATATTGGTTATATATGGATTAATAGTTCAAAATACTCGACATTTTAAATATCTTTTTAAAATTCTTGCTTTTTTTCCCCCGAAGGTACATGCAGAGTATTCTAGATACCAAAGCCAGATGACCATAGGAATGGGACCACCATCAGGTATTCTTACACAGGGTGGAAATTAGGAGTAAATGTTTAAAGCCAATGCATGTTTTCATGCCTGGATGTTGAAGTCACCAGTATAGTTGTAGGTTGAACATTTCAAATTTGAGTCCTGAGGTACTGATTATGTTGACTTCACTGAAAAATCTGATGTCAAATTATTATCAGAGAGCAGATTCAACACGGTTAAATTTTATGGTCACCAGCCAGGTCTTATTATTTTGGATAACGACAAATTTAGTATTTAAGTAGGCAGTTAAGTAGATATATGCCTTCTTGGTTTACATCTTTTGCCCCTCTTGCTATCGGTCTACTTTGGTTGATTGCTAAAGCTGCTTTGACCTTTGATTTCCAGTCTCTAGTCTATCATATTACCAGTTCATGTGCTGATTTAACATGGGTGTCGTAAAGGCATGATGATGCAATTTTTTTTAGTATTTTTTGTATTTGTCATAGCAAAAAGTACCATCAGGCACTATTTTTTCACTTGTATATTTTCTCCCTTCATTGTGCCTGCTGAATGCATTTGAATGTGTGGTTTTCGGGTGCTTACCAAGTAGCCATTATATTTATATAAACTGATTGTGAGCAAAGCTTAATGTTTTCTTCAGTCTTCTTTGTCTACGTGTCCATTTCCAGTAGAAGTTTTCTTCTCCTCAATCTTGGTGCTAAGATCAACTGTAGCGCCATTAAGCACTACCCAGTTGAGATCAGATCATGAATCAAACCTGAAACCTGTCTGTGGCTCAACAACTCATTGAATAAACTCTGAGTCACTGACTGGATAGAGTGAATTGAGAAATTGATGCATTATTTTTATGAATGCTGCCTTTGGTGGTAAAACTTCATATTAAAAATGTTAAAGTATCAGTGTGTATCGCAACAGAAATAAACACTGGACAGATATTGTTGAGCTTCACTACTGGTATATAGTTACTGTTTTGAATCTGTATTAAGTGAAGCTTAAGCATCAAGTTATGGTAGTTTTTGTAGTAAGTAATTATCGCTTATGTTAAATACATTACAAAATTACATTTGTATTGCGCCTTTCACTTGGGAGGACGCTGTGTCTTTTCGGGTTGTGAACTTGTGTCTTTTTGGTTGTGTTGATTTTCACCAACAAATTTTCAGATATTTGATGCTGGAATTTTTGATATTTTTCAGTCTATCCAATGGTGACACCATCTCCAGCTATGGCTCCTGCCCATAATCCTGTCTCTGTTCTACCTCCTGTGATGACGTCACAGCCATATCCCATTCAGCCTCAATCATCTGTCCCATACACGTATGCAAACACAAATGTACAGTATTCTACACAGCAGTTAAGGCAGCCTCTTCAAACCCCATACAGTACTGGATTGCCTACAGAGATGTCACAAAGTCAAGTTGTGTCGGGGATGATGCACTCAGTACCCCAGAACAACTTTTCTGTGCCACAACCAATGCCAGGACCTTGTTATGCGCCACAACCAATGCAACAAACTGGAGCATCTTCACAGCAGGTAAGAGCATTAAAGCGATGGACACCATTGATGATTTTTATACCATGCGCAATCCTTGTATTTAAATGTAAGATTCTGTGGTTTACTGCTAAATGGTAATATTTGTAAAACAACAAGTTTCCCTCCCTCCCTCCCAAAAGTGATTCATCTGTACTTAAGCTTGTGCCTTAACTACTCAAGAGTACCTATTTGAATCTGATTAAAGTTAATAATAATGGTTTCCCTGTTGCAAATTGAGTGAAACTTTATGGAAGCATTCAGTGGAATTTAATAGTTATCTCCAGAGTTTTGACTTTTAGTGAGATCGGTAACAAACAACCTTCAATAGATTTTCATCAAATGCATCGTCTACACATGGGGGAGAGGGAGTTTTGCACAACCAAAACTATTGAGTATTTCAGAGTACGAAGACTTTGGTTATAAGATCCAAGTTTGACTGTCTTTAGTAATCAAATTTCCTGAATTTTATTGAATATATTTAAAAAGGTATATATGTACCTATGGGTTGAATTTTTCTACAGGGTGATCAAAAAGTTGTGATACCATAACGATATCTAATAAGTCTTAAAGACATGGTAATTTTTTAGATAATAGGGTAGATATCCCAACTTTTTGGTCACCATGCAGTTAATAATAGGGCAAAAATCAGACTCAATAGGGATTCTGTCCTCTTTCACTCAAGTCTGGTGAAGAATAAAAAAAATGATTAGCATTTATTGTGCCTTTGGAAATGTTCTATGGCTCGCTAATCTATTTGCCTGGATGTAAGGAAACATTGGGAAGAAAATGGTGTAGAAATACAAAAGTTCAAAGCAGCAACCTGGGTTATTCTGTTTTAAGATTTTGTGAATGATATAAAAGTGACTAAATTGACAATATTAATTATTTAAATATATATTGTAATTTTATGGATCCTGGTACAATCCATATGCCTTTATTGTCCTAAACATTCTTTATGTAATGATACACAGCGGCCATATGCATGGAAGAGTAAATGATTTTGCTCAATGCACTTAAAAGTTGGGATAAAGGAAAGACATTTTTCTGTTTTCCGAAACAATTCATGTTAGGTATGTGTCAACAGTTTCTGTCACTGGAAACATTGGCAGGGTGCACAAGTTAAGTAACTGAGCAAAGTTCTTCTTCCTTTCCGAAAAGCTGATTTAGATACTCTTGGCTGCAATACAAGGCGCTGATTGTGGGTTCTGGAGTCTGCTTGATCCATAGCAGAAATAAAGATTCTGTTTACAGTTAGCATTTGTAAACCTCCATGTTGGCTTCGTTTGCTACAACTATTTGCTTTTCAAGAGTTCAATGAGCAGTTTTCTGCTTAAATACATAGCATTCCAGCCACTTAATGTAATTTTTGGCACTTTTTACTAAGATAAACAAAATGCTAATGTTAAATACAACTAATGTTAGTGTAATCTTCTGGGAGTGGTATGTAGATGCAACGTTTGCACACAAAATGTGGGAATTACACCCATAATCTACTCAATTTTAACATCCCTTGAAGGTTAAAAATTCATCTACTGAAACTATTCTCAAGCATAGATGGATTTGTTAGTCTTCTTTCTTAACCCTTTGAAATATAAAAGTTTTACATTTTTTTTGAAAGTTTGATGCACATTACATCTGTGTAATTATGGTACATGGCTAGAGAGAAAAACGGAAAAGTAAAACAAGTCTATGTTTCAGTTTTGTTCAGCTTCAAAACTATGTTTGTCATTGGATTTAACTTAAATTTGGAAGGCATGCAGGATTGGGCTAATTATTGGATTTAACTCAGAGAAGAAGGTTAAAACAAATTGGCATAAATTATAAATCTGCAACCCAATGGCGTAATTAGTAAATACACAATGTGTTGTATATGGCCCATGTCCTGGATTTCATTCCTGTTCTATCCTAAATTAGTTACATTAGTTGGGAAGGAAAATGGCTAGGAATTCCTGATATCTGTTCAATGATTTTTCACTGTAATTTTTGCAGAAGCCTTGTGAGAACAGAAAAGGGATCAGATTTGAGTGTGTTGGATTTGGTTGTCTGCAAATACTTTGTGGCTTCTAATAATAATAATCCTTGCATTTGATAAAGCGCTTTTCACGTCTTCTAGACGTCTCAAAGCGCTTCACAGAATATGCTGCAAAGTGAATTGGCTGTATCTTTGGGGGCGAAACGCGCAGCCAATTGCGCACAGCAGTGTCCCACAAACAATCGTGGATTGAAAATGACCAATTTATTATTATTTTTTGGAAGGATTATTATTAGGCGTGTGGAGTAAGGAAACTTGCCCAAGGTTTCGCCCTGCCTGGAATTGAACCCAGGTGTCTCGCTTGCAAGGCGAATGCTCTAACCACTGAGCGACAGGACTCCATGAGTCCTGTGCTCATTCATGAAGAATTAGTTGCTTGGTTGAAATATAACCACTTAATTTAATATTCTGTAAAAATTAACAATGGTTGTTAATTTTTAAGTCACTGACTTGCTCTGGTAAATTGTGTTGAAACATCTTTTCTCCAGTCACTTCAACAGTATCATACATTTTGGTTGTACGATATTAGCATTGAGGTTCAATATCTATTAGTTGAAGCATATTAGTGACATTTCTTTAATCAGAAATTGGTTCTCAATGTTGCTCAAAAACTGGAGAAGTTTACACTGAGTTAAATTGGCTTGGTACCCTTTAGAGGTGCTGTTAATCTGAACGGAATAAGGAATTATCCTTCACATACCATTGGAGGAAGGACATTTGTGTGCTGGGAGGAACCTTGTTCTATCTGGGTTGCCATATATAATGCATTGGTTACCTTAAAGTGCTGCAGTGTCTTTACCCCATGAGCTGTGCATCATTGGGCAATCAATATTGTATTCTGCTTTATTTACCAGATTAAGACTAGAGACACACAACCTATCTTGTGGGCTGTCTTCATTTTTGCAAGTTGAAGCATCCTCCACATCACTCTCTCATTGCCTTAATGGCTTTTTTCTTTTAACAACTACGGGTCAAAACAAACTGGTGCATGTTAGGTGGGGCTGTCTTCTGTATATAGGGCACAGGATGACAAACTGGTGCATGTTAGGTGGGGCTGTCTTCTATATATAGGGTACAGGATGGGAAGGGTGATGTCTCCGACACCTTGATTGTCCTGAGGCCAGACAACCGGTTGTGAAATTGGGATACCAAACTATAGCCCATTTAATAACTTCAGAGTGAAATAAATACCTTATTTCTTTAAAAACAAAATGACTTAACAATGATTTTAAAAATTCTAGATTCTAGGCACAAAATGCTCTCAGAAATCCATCTGCATTCTAATTACAACAAAACCGTTGAAAGGTGAATAGAAATTTGGACTAATCCATTTGTTGCTTACAACATATTTACAGAAGAGATGATCTTCCTTCTTATATATACATATGTTTATACATATGTTCTCATGGAATAGCCGGACGGTGTTCTTTTTAAGAGTCTGTTAAGAGTAGGAGCTGTGAGTTGTGCATTTATCTTAGCAGAAAATGAAGGGTTTTCATAGAAAGAAATCAGTTTACCCAACAATCAAATTCTGACTGTGCAATAAGAATATTGTGGAGGATTGAGAAAGTGATACAGCTTTCCATCTGCTGCATTTACTGGTGAACTCCTCCTATATTAAAATATTACAATAATAGTGAGTTCTACAATACAGTAGAAAAAACACTATTGCTGCAGACAAGTATTGTTGAACTTCAATGCCTACACTAGTATACTGAGACAGTCTTAGTGATCTGAAAATCAAATTAATTTGCAGGAAATAATTCAACTATGCATACAAGAATAGAAAAATATGGCTGTTTTAAAAAATATATATTAAATGAGTACAGAGGCCTTTCAAGTTTTAATGGATTTTCATCAGCAGATTGTCAGATGTTAAAATAATTCCTAATCGTTTCCCATCCCAGTCTGTGTCAGCCTGGCCCAATCTCCCCCTCCCTCCCAGCCTGTGTGTCAGCCCGGCTCAATCCCCCACCCCCACCCAGTCTGTGTGTCAGCCCGGCTCCGTCTCCCCTCTCCCAGCCTATGTGTCAGCCTGGCCAGTCTCCTCCTCCCAGCCTGTGTGTCAGTCCGGCTCAATCTCCCCTCTCCCAGTTTGTGTGTCAGCCTGGCTCAGTTGGTATCACTCTTACCTCTGAGTCACAAGGTTTGTGGGTTCAAGCTCCACTTTGGGACTTGGAATTCATCTAAGATGACACTCCAGTGCACTGCTGGGGGTGTGCTGCATTGTTGGAGGTGCTGTCCTTTGAGATGTAAACCGAGGCCGCATCTGTCTGTTCAGGTATACATTAATGGTACCATAACATTATTTGAAAATAGAAGGGGATTTCTCCCTATGTCCTGGCCAACCATCCCCTAAATAAAATTGGTCATTCACTTCATGCTGTGCACAAATTGGCTACCGCAAAACAGTCTCTACAGTAATTTAAATCCCATGAAGCACTTTGGGATGTCCTCTTGACATGAAAGGTGCTATAATAAATGTACGGATTATTGTTACTGTGGAATTTGGCTCCTTTTTCTTAATTCTTGGGTACAGCTCCAGTCACCCTATGATAACTTGCCTAACTGTTTATCTGAGGTTTGACAGTGGGTGTTGGGAAGTAATTTAACTTGGGGATAGCAGTTGATCCCAATTAGTTCTCACCAGATGTCCAAACATGCTCACATCCTGCTCACGGGCAGAAACTCTGATTGATTTTTTTCTCCCTACTCCCTATGATCACATTAGTGCTCTCTATAATGCTCCCTATGATTGTATTAGTGACATATTTGTATGGTGTCACTAATGTAATAATACAGACAAGTAAAAATAACTGGAGCATGTTTATTTTGAAAGGATCTTAAGTTAAGTTAATAAAAATCCTTACATTTGATATAGGGCCTTACCATGTCGTTGAGATGTCTCAAAGCGCTTCACAGAATATACTGTAAATTTTGAGGTTTATAGACTTTTAAAAATATTTGTCACTCCAAAGAATTATATTTCACCTTAAGTTAGTGGGGAAATGGGACAATAGAAATGGAAAGAAACTGGAGTTCGACAGCTTTTTAGTGTGGATTGTTAGAACTACTCTTTCATCTACAGATCTAGAATTAAGTATTCTGTTGGTTATTCATAGGTCCAACATGTAAACTCTGCCCCCATGCCAGTCTCTGTGTCCAGCTCAGAGTATCAGATCCCGGCCACAAGTACTAATAACCCTGTTTCAATGCCACCTCCTGTGTCGTCCTCTCAACCACAAAAGAGACGTTTCAGAGAAGAGAGAATGGCCAATACACCAGAAGAACTTCTTGGATACCAGGTAGGTATGCTCAGAATGTGCGTGCTCGGAGCTACCACTAGAATTACACCAATATAACTAAATGTAGTGCATTTAGGACTCGATAGGTGAAACTCAGAAAGGAGAGAGCTTGACAGACAAAATGGGCAGTGCATGATGCAAATGGATCAAGGTCTTTTTTATTGGAAGCGATAAGAACATTTGTAGAATGTTGATAGGTGCAGTTTGTTGTGCCAGAAATTGTTTTGGTTTATGGAGGTGATGATGCAGTTATTTTGAGAAATTTAAAAAAAGCTCAACTAAAGTATTTTTATAACTGTTGCTGCGGTAATGTGAATCTTTAAAATACATCTGCTTGCATACTTCAAAAAAGCATTGTATGCTGTTTAATTTTGATAGATAATAAAACCAACAATAGTGTTTGCACGTTGTGTGACTGTTGTTAAATTGTTAAATGTGTAGCTGTGTCAGGTTAGATTTTGATAGAATGATTTACCAAACTAACTGAAATAATGACTCTTAAAAAGGACAGACTAGAATTTAATACTGCTGGCATGAGGTAAAGTTGTGGTTAGGGAAAATTTGTTTTATTAATGTATCAGATTTGAAAATAATCCTTTTCAGGATTTGTTTGGGTTCAGGACTGTTAGAACCGCCTTGCTCTTATTGAGAATTTATTATGTATAGTGCTTGATATTGAGAGAGGTTAGTTTACCGACGAACTTGAAAATCATGAATTTATGAATATTGAACTTTATCCCATTCAAATCTTGTGTTTTGTTTCAAATGGAATCTTGTTTTATAATTAGACATTGAAACATAGCTATTATTACTCAATCTTGATGTAGATTCTATTCCATGAGAACTTTCTACATGTATAGGTATATAAGAAAGAAGTTTTAGTAACATTGTGGTTTAAATTGATAATTTGACAAATGGATTTATTCTGCAATCTCCGTGACAAACATACGTAATGAAGACCTAAAATTTCTACAATTTTGACTGGACAAAATGAACATAATGAAGGATTCGGAAGATGAGGCAGCTCATTATATTTGCTGTATTTATTGGTGATTTTCTTTCATATGCAAGTGTTATAATAGCGTTGTATTCTGCTGAAATGCACAGCGCTACATGGATTTTTTTCATAAGAAAACCTAGAACAAGAAAAGCCTAAGCCCATCTAGCCTGTTCTTTCCTCAGACCGTGTTTAATTACTTCTGTGTGGATTCTACCAAACCTATTTAATTTCCTGGGGAAAGTTTCTGCATGTATCTCCTTGCCCTCAGGTAAATTGAACAATACTGCATAATGTTAACCTTACATCCTACACTTTCATCTGTGGCAATTGGCAACTCGACTCAGTATTCAGCCACGTAGCATTCAATCATTTTTATCTGTACCTATCCCTAGGATCATTAAACCCATTCCTAATCAGATACTCATCCTATTCTGTAAATAAATTCACTCACAGCACCAGCTGTTTCAGGTGGAAATCTATTTCACATGATCACTATACACAGGAAGGGTGAGGAAATTTCTCCTAATCCTGCCTTACTTGAGGCAAGCTAATTTATATTCCTGTTCCCTAGATCTGCCCTCACTGTTCAAATGAAATAACCAAACATTTAAAAAAATATATAAATTTATATACCTTTGCATTTTATATAGTCCTTTATGTCCTCCAAGGATTTCTACAGTGAAGTGTAATGCCTGTATATTTGTTGGCGAACATCCCACTACCTCTTCTCAAATCTGTCCTCATAATTTAAGAGCCCTAAATCCTGGAATCACCCTTGCCAATCTAAGCCCTCTCCAATCCATCAATGTAACTTTAAATGTAGGGTTCCTAAAGTTCTCATATAGCATTAAAAAAATTGGTGACTTAGTTTGACGTTTCAGAAATTATTTTTAAACCCCATGTTCTAATATATTATCTATCTGATTTTTAAGGAAATATTTTGTTCATGCAAATTGTTCAAATTTACCAAGTTGGGTAAGTTTTGTTGTAATGGGTTGGTTTAAAATTCAGATACATTTTGGCAGGGGTTCTCAAACTTTGTCACAGTGAGCCTCTCTAAGCCAAAAAAAAAAGCAATTGCACCTCCACCAAGACAACACAAAAACCCGAAAATCTCATACTACGCAAGAGTACGAGCAACAAAGTAGAAGGGCTCAGATCAATACAGTTACACTGAGTATGAGAGTCAAAAGCACTAATTTACTTCACAAAGCACCCTCTGTGCTATCCCATTATTCTGCCCAAAAAGAGCACAAATTGCAGCAGCCAGAACAAAACCACCAACACTCCTGGGAATCACACCACCAAACAACTACAGACCATGGCAGTAAAATATTTGTCAGCGGAAATTTATCTACCTTATCAGTGAGAGGAGTGAGCCTGTCTCCTCATTGTACAAAATAGTAGAATTTGGGGTTGTGGTGTTGAAAGTTAGAGGCAGGGTTTGGCTGTTGTGGGAAGCCCACTGTCGCAGGGCGTAGCCACTGGGGGAAGTGCCATTGCAGGTCCTGAACATCAAGGGAGAGGCCCCACCGGGATGTGGGAGCAGAGCAGCCTTGTGACACCTGAGACTGTTGGGAAGCACGTAACCGCCGCTTCCCTTAGCGCACAACCATGTCCCCCCCCCACCCCCCCAGGAGTTTGAGAACCTCTGCATTATGGAATTATTATTATTTTGCAACAGTGACCTTGTAATAGTTGAGTGTAAGAAACCAATTGCCAGAACCTTAAAAGTATCTGCAGCTGTTCTGCCTACAGCTTCACTTTTAATATTTATGTTTGAAACGTATAGTGACGATCAAAATACTAGAATTTCCTTTTGACTTTCATTTTATTGATGATTTATGTGGCTGCTGGAAAATGCATCACTTTCCTATTTCAGATAACTTGTCATTATGAAACACTCCCAGGGCAAGTGTAATAGTTAGCTAGAAAATGCCCTCTCCACTCCATACTATCAATAGGCCCAAATTGCGTGTTCAATTTTTTTCATTTGCCAATCAGCCATAGCTGACTAAATGAGATTAACAAAGCACCAAAAAAGTTTATTTGTTTTGTGTGGCCCATACCAAGTTAACAACCTGTCTAAGACTGCTTCAACCCATTTTGTGTATACTCATCAGATGAAGGGACTTTTATCCCATCAATTTGAGCTGGATTTGTACCGAGGTTCCAGAAGAGAAATTAAATGAGCTAAGCTATTGTACCACCTCGTTCGTCCCTTCCATATTGATTCCCATCTAATGCTAAAGAGGTCTTAAGATCCTGTTTACATTACAAGAATAAAATTGATATTGGTGTTCATAAGTTATAAATTTGTTTTATGAATTGTATGCAATCACGCCTGTTGATCTCTGTGGCCTTTTTTCTACTCATAGCACGGACCATTTCACTTGACTAATCTAGGTACTAGGAGCAGTCAGGATATGGGCTCTGGGTTGAAGATTGCTGCTGATCCTACCTTCTTTGGAAGGGGAAGAGAAAGGTAATTACAGTTACACTTTATTAATCCAAAGTTGTCAGTTATTTGACAGATCATTTGTCCTCTCCTACTCGGTGAATCATCTGCATGCATTCATTCCACTTCCACATATACAGGATGACCTCCAACTATGTCTCCGCCTCTGTCCTCAAATCATGTAAATGTCAGAAAGACTGAGAATCTGCTTATCTCAGGAGCTGACTCAGTTGACCCGCACTCATGCTCTCTCAACCTCACGAGTTGATGCAGAACCTTGTTTTTTGACTCCTGTATTTGTATGTAAGATCGTCACTCACTTGACTTTCTCTTCAATAAATTCCAAGATCCTCATCCTCACTTTCAAATCCCTCCGTTATCTCACCCCACCTTTCCAACCCCATCTTCTATCTCCTCCCCCAGGCTCGGGTATATTGCACTTTGTGCACGATAGTGTCTCGAGACCCTCCTCTGCCCCCACGCCTTCGGCCACCCTCCTACCCCTACCCTCTCTGCCCTCCACTGTCCCCAAAACCCCCCACCACCACCCCCTCCGATTCCAACCCATGCTCGGGTCCAAATCACTGACTATCCAATGCCTTGGGCATTGTATAGCGCCTTCCAATGTGGAAGGCGCTATACAAATGTTAGGGTAAGCTTGATTTCTTGTGTGCTACTCGCAATATTTCTTCATTTAACACTACTGAAAAGCCATGATATGCTAAAAATGTATATTGTTGCTATCATTATTCCTGTTCTTGTTTGATATCTTGCAGGCAGCTGATGCCCCCACTGTCCAACCATGGAGATCATTCTGAAATGCCAGAAGCCTCGATGCCTGTATTGCGTTCTTTAAATATGCAAGGTGAGGAACCTCTATACATAATTGTAATTCTAGGTTTCTTTGTGCAGCTCTTTTTACAATTTAGGATGTCCTAAACCATTAACAACTGATACATATTGGTTAACTCAACAATACTAGAATTTTTTTTTCTCCTATAACTCTTCTCCCCTGAAGCCAGGGTACAATGCTTTGTGAATGAATCTAGGGGCAATGATTCTGTAGTACCCTATGTTCACGTTGGGCTCTTTGATGAGAATGTTGACCCAGTCAAAGCCAACCATTAGGTGGTTCTCTTCTGGTATTTCCAGAAGGAATTCCTAAATAATTATCAGAGGAACTGGCTGACTTTTTGAGGAGGCTTTTTATGGTTCCAGTTGTTTTTTATTAGTTTTTAACTTGACTAAAATGAATAATTTGTAAGTGTCCTAACAATTCGTCTCATTAAAAAAAAAGTTTGGCTTCCTTATGGTCACCTGCTGCACAAGTTTTTTTTGCTCTGTGATGCGAATTGAGTCATATATAGATGTGATGTGCAGGTGTCCATTGGCAAGTCTGAAATCAAGACTGTTGTTGCTGTTTTCTTCATTGTGTACCCCTATATGTACATTTTTGAAGAGCAAAATATACCGAAGAACTCCCATCGTGTGTGTTTAGAAAATACAGAGAAGCGGTGATTATCTATCTGGTCTTTGTTTACTTGTGTATCTATGCCTCCTCAACTCCACTCCATTAAAGAGCTGCAATTTTCTCTTTGCTCCCACTGGAGTTACTGCAGAATTTGCAGTATTGGAGAGGAGGGTAAATTATGTCTTTCATACGGAAGCCAATGCCAATCTTGAGGAACTTACACTGAGAATTAGTTACACAAATGATGTTCTCTAAATAGGGATACTTGGATTAGCCTCCAGACTTTTACAAATGACTGGAGCTGTTCCATAAAGCATAAAGTTGTTTCCCTAAAGCATGTTATTGGAATGTGATTTGACATGAACAGATAAAATAAGTGGAAATAAGACTTGAATCTGGTAGTGGGGAAAATACTCCGCTGTTTTTCCATCATCCTAAAGTGCTTTATGCACAGGATATTACTGGATTTTTTTTGTATTTTGGCGAGTTCTGCTTGGATTTCATTTTGTCAGTTCTGATTACAATTGATGCAGTTGAATTTTAATTGGAGTACAGCTGACGTGGATCAGAGATGAAACAAAAACATCATATAGTTCTCTTGAAGCCAAACACCTAGTCTTATCCAGAGACAGTTGGAGAATCAGCATGGTTGAAACCCTTAATGGGTTCAGAAGTAAGCGGCCTTCGTTAGTAATTTCAGTTGAAGAAGCTGACTGCGTGCATATTTGGGGTAAAAGTTGTTCATTTAAGATTTGGATGGCTCAGATTAAAGTTTACCTTGCTTGAATTATAGATTCAGAAACTTGACACAAACAGACAACCATTAAGAACCAGAAATTTCAATGTTTGAAAGTAACTACACTGCCAATGTGTAATGACCTAATTTGTGAAGTATTTTATACTATTCATTTAGAACTATAACACTTATAGGAAGGGAATTTGATTATTTAGGGAATAATGGCAAGAAAAGTACAGAAGATTGATGAAACAAATGTATATTGGCTTTTCAACCAAGTAGTGGATAGTTTTATAATATAAGGCAGAAATACAACTTATTAACAACTTAAAGGATGAAAGGTAGGTTAAATCTGTATGCCATTTTACTTTAGTTTTTTTATATAGTGTGTTGAATCGAAGAGAAACAGATGCTTAAAGAAGATTGGTCGTGCCCTTTTGTTCCAGAAGTATAGTTTGCGTTTTCCAATTAGAGGGTTCAGATTCCAGCCTCAAAATTTAAGCTTTGTTTTGCTAATTGAATAAGTTTGACCATTCTTACCAAACCATGCATAGTGCTTCTATCTTAGCATACAGAATGAATGTCTGGATCACTCTCACTTGTGGAATTGTGCCTTCTGCCTGCCTACTACAGATCAATACACACGACAGCAGTGAGAAGTCTGTGCTTCATGTTTTCATTATACATTCGAAGGTGAAAGAGAAATATATATTTTTTTAAATATACAAGAAATGGGGGATAAGGGCAAGTAATTCAAATTCCTTGAGTGCATTTTATACCCAATATCGACAAGTTATCATGGCTATCATTGTATATGCTACAATGAATAATTGCAATTTTAGAATAGTTTTATTGTGTTTAAATGCAGTGCAGCATTTTTGGTTAAAACATCTCTAGTCATGGCTCAATCTTTATATATTTGCTACCAAAGTGACTACAGGTGTATATGGAACTCTCAGTAATTTGATTTGGACACTCCCTAAGCCTGGTGATTGGAGGGGGAAAGTATTTGAATTATAAGAGGAAACCACTGAAACGTTACTGAACCAAGGATCCGTTTGGTGAAGTTGTAGTTTATCACTTGTTGACCTCCAATTCTTTGGCGATCTGGGGTCTCTTAACACACCTGGTAGGTATGCTCTCCATGGATAGAAATCCCAGGAATGACGTTATATTTTCATGCTGTTATGCAGGTCACAGTGTTGAGGGTCAATGCTCATGTGATATATCCTGTTCCTCTCCAGTTTATTTTTCATCTGAGGAAAGTGTGCAGGAGTTTCTGCTTTTGTGTGCTGTGGTCATGGAATCAACACTTAATTTTCACAAGATTTTTGCTTTTATCATTTTAGTTTTCAGTGTATTTGGTTGGTACTGAATTCGCCATTGTGGTAAGGTCTGCAGCCCATCAAACCAACTGGAATTTTCTCTATTGGTACAAGCGGCATTAGTGACAAAATCTGTTTTCAAACAATTTACATAGAATGTTACAGCACGGGAACAGGCCATTCAGCTGAATTAGTCTGTGCTGATGTCTATACTCTACATGAACCTCTGCTCCACTGAATCCCCACTCCTGTACCCCTTTGTTCCCTCCTTAGTCATGTATGCAGCTAAACACTAATGAAAGAGGTTGGATATGGCCTCATTTGGCTCAGATTATACTTAGAATATCTACTCCATCATTCTGACATTGCTCAGTGATATCTCGGGATAGTGCCCTTTGATGCTGGACAGATTTTTGTAATCCTCCAGGATCGTTGTCTTCTTGTGGCCATGCCACTTAAGATGAAGTATTGGAATTAACCAGTGCCACTGACTGGGTGAGAATGTGAAGCTGTAGACAGATCTTGGCCGGCATGCTTCCTTGGGGGAAAAAAATGAAGATTGTCGTCCTCCAGATTTACCATTGCTGATACTTGCACAGCATTTGGTCTTTATATAGTTTTACGACAGAATGTTAACTTTCATTGAAGCTTAGAATGTATTGCTAGGTAGAAACTGTTTAGTAAAGCTACTGTTGTGAAGTTTTAAATATTGTATTCCAGTTAGAACTGGCATTTCCAAATTTATCTTATAATTAATTCAATCTTCTCTTTTGTGTCTTGTGTTCTCTTACATGTTTCTGATGGGACTTCACCGCCTGCTGCTGTCAACTTGACATGGTTTTATCTGATGTCTGATTTTGACGTGTACTGTATTACAAATGGTTTATTTGATGTGACTTAACTGTAAATATTTTAAATAATTAACAATGTGTTCTCTTTCCCAAACTAAATATTTTTCTTTTTTTATATTGATTGATATTTTGGCTTTCTGGGTATGGATGGTGTTTGGGGGTCTTTTCTGTAGGTCATACTTCTTCACCAAGCCATAAACGGCAGAAGACGAGTGACAGCCTAGGTGCGCTGGCCCAATATGGGGAGGACTCTTCAGATGAGGAAGAAGAAAGGCAGAGGCGAGGGGGGAGATACAGGAATTCTGGAAATGCATCGCGCAATATGTACCCTCCCTATTTTCAGCATTCTAATCAACATCATCCTCCCCACCCCCCCCAGCACCATCATCACCAGCAGCAGCTTCACCACCAGCAGCAACAGCAAGCTCTCCCAAGGTCCCACAATACCATGCCCTTCTGGATGGCTCCCAATTAACATTGTGTTTTAAATGCATTTTTCTTAATATTCTCTTCACAATGTGCAGTTTGAACTTCAGTTGTTCACCTGTCTTTGCTAGCTACAGTACCTTTACCCAATATACAACTACACCTGTACTCAATAAGGATCATCAGTATCAAATGGCTGACTTCAGCAATGAAAGCTGGATTTTTACTAAAGGTATATACACACCAACTTGTGAAGAACCATACTCTACTGTTATTTAACAGGACTTCATCTACTGCAGCAATGTGAAGAGTAAATTCAAAGATTGCCTTTCATAGGCACGAATTTCAGAATGCAGGACAAATGGGGAGAAAAAGATACCATTTTCCCCACCTAAAGTTTGCATCAGCATGATTCGTGCATCAATCTTCTATGTTGTAATGAGCAAGAATTTAGTGTATTTCATTGTACAACTGTAAAATAAAATGTGAGAAATATATAGTACATTATAACTTGGTAGTATTTGTAAAATGCTAAAGTCATGAATCTAAGTTTCCTTTGAATTTGTTCTGCATTCAGTGCAATGTTTGACAAAGGGGTGATCTATAATGGGAATACATGTGTAGGTAGGGCTGTGTCGTGGTTTATTTTGATAACTGAATGATTTAACATTTGTACTTGGATATAGTTAAGTAATTAAAAAAAATTACCATGAATTCTGGTCAAGCATGTTGGGTGAAATTCTAGTTATCTTTTTCATCTATTTTTAAGCATTAAAATGTGGCTAGGCAAGTTCCTATCCACATCTTAAGGAGTGTTGTAGCATAGTGGTTAGTGCATTCACCTTGCAAGCGAGAGGAACTGGGTATGGTGAAACCTTAGGAACATTTCTTTATTCACAGGTCTGCTTACCTAGCAGTAACCTGGGGCAATAATTCCCTCCCCCCAAAAAATTGGTTACTCCATCCATGACTATCTGTGCAACACTGCCATGTTTTGCCCACAGCTTTTATATCAAAATAATTTAAAATTAGAAACCATCTTAATAGAGAAAAGTGTTTATAAAATTTGCAGAGGAACCTCACTTCTGCAATCTAGCACTTCAATTCTGTTCACCCCCAGCCTTACACTTCAACTAGAATACCTAATTCTCATAACTGCCAATTAATATTTAAAACCTAAAGCTTCAAGGGAAGCATGATAACTTCCTTTGTATGTTCTATTGTAGTGCCTTCTAGTTTTAATCAGTGTACTGCTTGTTACCTGTTTGACAAAAGGTGAACGCCCTTGTTCATTTCTGGTTTTGAGGTGTGATAAATCAAAACCTATATGAAGTTCAGACAAATGTTTAATAAGTACAGAAAAATAAAATGGGAGAAAGTGGAATGCATTATTTACAAGAAGTGTTAGGTTGTGGGAAAGTCTTCAGGGTGCTCCTTAATACCTTCTCCTTTCATCCATGGAGTTTTGATCTTTCCTTCCTTTTGATTAGTGGTTTGCTGAAAAGTTTCTGAAAATCGCTCCCTAGCTTTAGCCCAGTTCTTCTCATTTTTGGATTTGACCATCTGTACATCTTCAATGCCAAGTGGTACAGCTGCCCCTAAGCCAGTGTGTGACTGATGAAGATGAACCTGAATCTGGAAAACACATGCGGAGCAAAGGAAGATGAACTTCAGATCAGAAGGGTGCTTTAGTATTTATGCAACAGTATAGCATCAATTTTGCTAGATTTTCCTGAAACTTGATGCAATCATTTTGAAAATCTCCCCTCTGGTTTTAATTGTAAAAAAATCAAATATTGGTATCAAGGTAGCAATTGACAACTCCTCCAAAAAAAACTCTTCAATTGCAGTTCACCAGCCAAAATAGTTTTTTTTAAAAATAGCTCAGCGTGATCTCACAGGTATAGACAACTACACTTCACACAAATGATAATGGTACCAACTGAGCCAAGCTGAAAGTGGCATTCTAAATCACTTAAATTATGTGATAACTAGCCTGCAGGTTTTAAATTAAATACTTAGTATAGAATATCAGTTGCCATTTCATGATTTAATTTATAAAATAACACTTGTGTATGCAGTAAAGGGGACTTACCGGCTCCTTAATACCACAACTGCCTTTTCCAAGTCCTTCACCTTTCTTCCACCCCATCTTCTCTAACATCTTTCGTCCCTTATTGGTGCCTCCAATTTCACTAAAATAAGTAAATTCTCTTTAATATATTATACAAAGGTTTACTGCATTCATACATTTCCATTTGTCTTCAGCATTTACAATTCATACTGCATTAAAATACAAAGGTACATCAAGATTAAAGATATATTTAAACTATGGTCTGTACTCATGTAGTTCAACAACCATGGTCGACAAATGAGATAAGGCAGCATCAAACTAAAAGATAAGTCTTACATTAATGCAAGAAAGTGGAAATCCAGCGGACTGGGAAACTTATCAAAAGCAACAAAGATACAAAGTAACAAAGGTGCAAAAAGTGAATATGAGAAAACTTTCATGGGATATCAAGGGCAGCAGTAAAAGTTTTAATAAAAAAGGGGAATGCCTGCTGATTAAAGACATGACGGTGAGACTGTAATGGACAATAAGGAAATGGCAGGCTTGTTTAATAAATACTTTGTTTCAGCTTTCACAGTGGAGGAAGAGGAAAAAAATACCAGTGGTACAAGGGAATCTTAAAAATAAGTCAAAGAGAAATACTAAATGGATTTAACATAAATTTTAAAAATTTTAATAGAGAAAATAATGGGACTACAGATAGACAAATCTCCATGGCCTGATAGATTCAACCCATGGGTATTAAAAGAAGTAGGGGAGGAAATTGCCGATGCGTTAATCATAATTTTCCAAAGCTCTATATTTGGGAATTGTGCCCTTGGATTGGAGAATTGTCACTCGGAGGAAGAAACCAGGTAACTACAGACCTGTCACCTTCAGTTGTGGGGAAGTTACTGGAATCTCTCATTAGGGACAGAATAACTGAGCGCTTGGACAAGTATGAGCTCATCAAAGAATCAGCATGGATTTGTGAAGGTTAGGTCATGTCCTGGGCCAATTTAAAAGTGCTGCTGCACTTTTTCCGCACCAACAACCCCTGTCCGCTACAAACCCACCATAAATGTAGTTTCTGGTCATGCGGGCCACTCGCATTGTTTACCTAATGTCACTGGGCAGAGCTGCCCCGCATGCGCAGTGTGGCGCAAATGGGCTACACTTGGAGGCCCCGCTGTTGTAATTGTCTCTGTGGGTCTGAGTGTGTGTCTACGTCTCCTATATATGTGTGTGTGTTTGAGTGTCTCTGTGTGTATGTCTCTGTGTCTGGGTGTACGTATGTGTGTTTCTCTCTCTGTCTTTGAACGTGTGTATGTCTGCGAGTTCTGTGTAGAACAGTGCATATGAGGAATGCAAAGTGCGTGTGTGTGTGTCTCTGTGTCTGAGTGTGTGTATGTCTCTCTGTCTTTGAGTATGTGCGTGTCTCTGTCTTTCAGTTTGTGTGTCTCTCACTGTGTCCGAGTGTGTGTCTCTCTGGGTCTCTGTCTGTGTGAGGTGCTGGCTCTGAGAGACAGGAGACGGTGAGCTCCTGTCGCCTCGCTGGTGCCTGGCCCCACCCTTCCAAAAAAGTGGCCACCCAATTTTTGTTAAAGAAGCAATTAATTTTTTTGCAAGTTTTATATTATTTCCTTATATTTCGTTTTTAATCAATAAATTGAAAAAAATGTAGCAGTGCGCACCGCAATTTTTTTTGGCAAAAATGTCCGCACTTTTCTATTGGCCCAGGTCATGTCTGACAAATCTAACTCCATTTTTTGGAGGTCACTGACATGGTGGATAAGAGAGCCTATGGATGTTGTGTACATGGACTTCCAGATCGCAATCGATAAGGTTCTGCACATGAGGTTATTAGCAAACATAAAAGTGCATGGAATCGAAGGTAACCTTTCGATGTGGCTTAGAAATTGGGAGGCAGGAAAGAAGTACGGATAAAAGGAACGTTCTCTGATTGGCGGGGCTTGACAAATGGTGTCCCTCAGGGGTCTGTACTGGGGCCTCAGCTTTTTACCATAATATATATTATATAATAATAATCTTTGCTTTTGATATAGCACTTTCATATTTTCTAGACATCTCAAGGCGCTTCACAGAAGCTGTAAAGTGTTATTGTACATTTATACTGCAAAGTGAACTGACTATATTTTGTGGATGAAACGCGGCGGCCAATTGTGCACTGCAGTGTCCCACAAACAGTCGTGGATTGAGTGACCAAATTTTTATTTTATTTCTTGAGGGATTATTATCAGGCGTGTGAAGTAAGGAAACTTGCCCAAGGTTTCGTCCTGCCGGGAATCAAACCCAGGTCTCTCGCTCGCAAGGCGAGCGCTCTAACCACTGAGCTCCAGGACTCCATTTATATATATCTGGAGTACTGTGTTCAGTTTTGGGCACTGAACCTCATGAAGGATATATTGACTCTGGATGGAGTGCAGCACAGATTCACCAGAATGATACCAGGCCTTAAAGGGTTAAATTATGAGGGCAGGTTGCATAAATTTTGGTCTCTATTCCCTTGAGTTTAAAAGTTGGAGGGGTGATCTAATTGAGATTTTTTAAAATAATAAAGGGATTCGATAGGGTAGTTACAGAGAAATTATTTCCTCTGGTAGGGGAATCCAGAACAAGGGGCCATCATCTCAAAATTGGAGTGAGGCCATTTTGGAGTGAAATTAGGAAGCAGTTTTTCACCCAAAGGGTAGTGGAAATCTGGAACTCTTCCCTCAAAAGGCTGTAGATGCTGGATCCATTCACATTTTCAAGACTGAGGTGAATAGATGTTTGTTAGGTCAGGGTATTAAGGGATACAGGGCAAGGGCAGGTAGTTACTGGGCAATTGGACTTGACATACAGATCAGCCATGGTCTTATAGAATGGCGGAACACGTTCGGGGGGGCTGAATGGCACAGAAACTCCTGTTTCTATGTACTGAGCACTAAGGTGAATGAATGCCCATGAATATTTATTGCACAAAGTTTTGAAGTTGAAACCTACTCCTAACATCAGAAGAGCTCCATATGACAGTTATTTGCTTGATGACTGCCTTAGGTACAAGGAAATTAAAACTGGGCTGGGCATAGACTTATAGGATCACTGCTGCATTCCCAGGTCTAACATGTATTTAGAGTAACAATAACAACAAATTACATTTGTATAGCGCCTTTCCCCTCAGGATGACTTCCCAAGGTGCTGGACAGTCAGGGATTTGGACAAAGCAGGGGATTGGGATCAGGAGCAGTGGAGGGTGACCGACAGGGAGGTCCATTGTTGATAACGATTCATGACGTTGCGTCTATAATTACTTACACATTGACTGAAGCTGGGGCGTCATCCTTTTGGTAAATGCAATCGCTGCCAACTACATGTCTGCGTCTACCAGCTCGGTCTTTGTATGCTGGGTTCTTTAACGCTTCGCATTCCTCATATGCACTGTTCTACACAGAAAACACAATAAAAACAATATTGAAAATCATGACTGATTATGAAAGGTATTATACTAATAGAGTGAATTAAAGTCAGCATTTGACACAATCTTTATGTTAGTGCTAGTACAACAACAACTTGCATTTATATAGGATCCTTCATGCAGGTAGCTTCTAAGAGTGCCTAACAGCTGTGAAATAAAGCATAATAATCAAGTTCTAATTACAAAATTAACAGATTTGTTAGTTACACTTATAAACAGTATACAGTACATTACAGAGAACTAATGAGCTCTGTACAGTATTTTCAATTGGAAACAGGATAGTTTTGCCTTAATTCATAAGAAAAAGTATAACTTTTTGATTTAAATCATATTTATCTTTCACAGCTACCGTTTTGTTAAACAAATCCTGTCAAAAGGATAAGGAAATTTCCAAATCTTTTCATTTGTAGCTAATAGTCTAATCGTCATTTGTATTAGGGAGATTGTTGGTCAGTTGCGAGGACTGGGAGAAACTCCCTCCTCTTTTTCATTCAGTTCATGGGATCTGTAACAATCACCTGAACTTTGGTTTAACGGCTCATCTGAAGGTCAGCACCTTCAACAACGCAGCGTTCTGCAAACACTGGGTTGGAGTGTCAGAATAGACCACAAGGTTTTACCTTTTATGTGAGCCTTGAACTCCCAATCTCTGATTCAGAAGTGAGAGTGTTACCAACTGAGCCAGGCTGACAGCTAAAGGTATAAGCAAAATCTGACAATTGAAAACAATTGCAATAAAAATCTACCTGCAAACCATATTTGACCCGAATTTGTTTTAATTCTCGTCGTCGTAATTTATCTTTCTCCTCCTTGCTTAGTACTGGAACAGCTACAAAACAAAAACAATAATTCACCTAAATTAACATTTTGGACACTAAATGTAAAGAAAGAATAATCACTTACTGATCCAGAGCTTCTACAATAATATGCGCCCATGCAGAAAGTAAATAAATTATGAATCCTGAAAGGTGAGGTCAAAAAGAGCACAACTGCTAAACTGACATTTTGTGAACAAAAAGTAAACTTTAAGTGCAACATGATTTTACTCCACATGATTGTCAGGCCAAAATATCATCTGCCGTATAATACATGTGTCCAAACAGTTCTCTTTCATGGTTCCAAGCTCCTGGACATGCTGCAGATGGGTTTCCTTCAGTCCATTTGTAAAGCCCAGAGCCAAGTAGTCAGGTGGATTTGGAGTAAATAGAAAGCATCTGCAAGGAGGAAGGCCTTGCACTACCAACAACTGACCTGCTGCTGGCACTCTGAGGGAATCAGCTTCACAGCAAACATATTGTTTACTAAAGCCTCTCACACGAGGGCATGGATTAAGCAGCTAGTTCTGAGTAGGCTTGGAATGCTGTATTGAACTTGGATCTCTAGAACATCAGGTAGCTGGCACGTCACAGGCTGTCCTGAAAGGTCCTTTGACCACCCTGAAGGCCTTGGCTTTTGCCAACCTGCGCCCATACCCATTGGAATTAGGTAAGCAGGATCCCTCCCTCCTGGGAGGAGTGCACATTCCAATCCAGTCATAGAAATCTCAATGTGTAGGAACTCTCTGGTTTGGGATACTGTTAAGCATAATGATTGGTTTCTCTATGTGGAAGATACCCAACTAATCAAAAACACAACATTAAGTGGCTCCCACTACAACACAAACTGAAAGTTCAGAGAGGAATGTCAATGCCTTGGACAAATCTAAATGGCTACCATGATTAATTTGGTACAAACACTACACAACTGCTTGCAGCCTTTTGCATTAGTTCTGAACAAAGATACAAAGTTAGCAGCATATATAATAATAAATAATAATATAATAATCCTTGCATTTGATATAGCGTCTTCTCGAAGTCTCAAAGCGCTTCACAGAATAGACTGTAACGTGAATTGACCCTATATTTGTGGGCGAAACATAACATATTTGTTATATTTTAAGTACCTGCTGATTCTTTTTTGTTGAGCCTTAAATGTGCTATCACTTGACCTGGCTCACAGCCATTGCACGTGTCGGTTCCTGGATGGATGTGGAAAGACAACACTGTCTCCCCGATCTTTACTTCATCTCCATGCTCCAATGCGTGAGGATCACATTTGTTTTTTCGCTGAAATAATTATCTGGATATTAACTGACAGCAGAAACAACAGCTCTTACAGTTCTTTTTGGAATTAATTTTAATGTTTTCCCCCCAAATAAGAAATTGAAAATTTCTAAGATTTCCAAAATTATCTTATAAATCAAATCTAAAATCTTCCATTTTTAAATTTAAACACACGTAATTTCCCCATCTAAACAAGAATTCTTCTGCGCCTCAGTGACAGCTTGTGTAGCCAGGAGTATTTGATATCATTTAGTACTAATATCAAAAAGTTTTTTTCAAAATATATATAGTAACAAATGCCAACATTCTTCAGCCTACTGAGAGCTTAAGTAAAAAAAAGTGGATCTCAAGGTTCATGAGTTTCAATAATTTTGCTCTTTAACTCAGCTGTTAGACTTTTCAGCTTTAAGTGAAACATTTGGGGTTTTCCTATTACTATAAGGTATTTGTGATCCAGGTGTTATTGCCTGGCTTGATTTAGTTGTTCTATTTTGTAAATAGACCAAAATGGCAAGATCAACTATTCGTTTTTATTCAACCCAATTTGGGTTAAATGGCAAAGTCATCTGTCAGATGGTAATATTGGCATAATCCAAAAGGTATTGAAAACATAGCAGGACACTTTGTAGAAATATCCTAATGGTAATGGATTAGTTACACACACACACTGTGGAGGAAGTTACAGCATGCTAGGTTACTTGACCTCCACATGTAAGGTGTAAAGAATACAAATAGTATAAACTCTCTATTCTCTCCCTATAATATTCGGATGCTGCAATACAGCTATGCAGAGCAAAAGCCAGTTTTAAATTGTCCAATACGCATTACTTTCAGCAACAGAAGTCGCTGGGAACACGCTGCAGGTCAGGCAGCATCCATGGAGAAAGGAAAGTGAGTCAACTTTTTTAAAAAAAACTTAAGCTCTCAGTAGCTTAAGTAAACCTCATTTATCTGCCAGGGGCCTTACAGCCCTCAATATTGATTTCAACAATTTCAGACCATAACAGCTCACCTTCCCCCTCCCCCTCTTCTGTGACCATTATCACATCATCTGGGTCCCAGACACATCTTTTCTCTCTCTGGTCTGCCTATTTTGTTGCAATCTTTCCCCACTTTGTTTTGCATCATTAACACCTCTTTAATCCATCATCCCCTGTCCTCTACCCCATTTTCTCCTTTGTCTTCCTTGCCCTGCCTCCCCCCTCTTTGTTAGCCCTTAAAAGCCTCTCCCTCCCAACATGCCCCAGTTCTGACTAAGTGTTGTGGTCCAAAACGTTGACTTACTTTCCTTTCTCCATAGATGCTGCCTGAGCTGCTGAGTGTTCCCAGCGACTTCTGTTTCTGTTTCAGATTTCCAGCATCTGCAGTATTTGGCATTTTGGTGCGTTACTTTCAATTGGGTTCAATAAAAACAAATAGCTGATATTGGCATTGTGGTCCTCACAGTTGCCAAGGGGCATGCACCAAACACCAACATTTCTACACTTTAGCTGAAAGGCGATCCCATCCACCTATATTGTAATAAAGCAACTTACTGTTTGATTAGAACAAACACACTTACTGTCAAGATCCGGGTCCCATTAAGCACAGTCCCATTCTGGCTACATTGATCAACTAGCACGTATTGCTGCAGTTCTTGGTCAAAGTATACCTCGGCATGAAACTAGTCAAAATGGAAATTCAAAGAGAAACATTCATACAAAATACATATACTTGAAAAGCATGTGTGTGGAAAACAACTATAGCAATATTATTAAATAGCAAATATTCAAAAAGTCTTCATAACTTGCAAGTCATAAGGTTAAACCTGGGCTGTATCAGTTGTATCACACAGTTAAAAGAGTTTGTACACTCAATGGTTCCCACTGGAAGATTCTCTTCATATCAAAAAGTCCCAATGAATACTTTTAATGTGATTTTTGAATTTTCAATTTATCAACTAAATTTGAAAACAAAAAATCCATAAGCAATGAACACATTGTGACAAATGGTAGTTACACAATGGTACATTGAGACACCGAGATTTACACAGAACGTACAGCTTGGAAACAGGCTCAAGCAATTTGTACTGCTGTTTGTACTCCACACAAATCTCGAACCCTCCCATATTCTTCTATTCCCTCAACCTCATTCGACGGTCTAGCTTCCTCTTGAATGGAAGGAGATACAAATTCAGAGGGCAAAAATCACTGGATCATTCTAATGCCCCTTTCGTCTTTCAAATCAAGAGCAACATTAGCAGAATGTTACTCAGATCAATTTGAGTTGATGATGGGTGGAACATAAACAAGAGGGAAAATACATTACAAACTTTGAGGCTTAAAAATCTATCTATAGAGCCTGGTTACATTATATTCAATCGCTTTGTCACGTCCTTGTGTACTGTTTTGTATTGTGTATTCAAAGATCCACTGACTATCTTCATGTTATACTCAACTGAATTAAATTTTTGTAATTAATAGATTTTACTTAAAAAGGCAGACTTAAAGCCTCTGGCTTATGCTTCCTTTTGCAATAAACCAAGACAGTGGTATATCATACATTTGTCTTAAGCTTTATTTCAATAAAAATATTTTGAATTTTATGCTATAATATTCCCATGCAACTAACCTTACTAACTGCCATTTCTGGTAACCTGATGGTATGATCCATATCTTTGTCTCTGTAAAGGAAACAACCATACTTAACAAAATAAACACAACTCTCAAACAAAGCTCTTTATTTTTGTCACCAATTTCTCATACATAAATGCTCAAACACCTAACCACTAATGTTTGCTAATATATTGAAAGATTACTATTCTATACAGTAAGCAAAACTGCTTAACGACACAACAGACTCTAGGCTAGGCTCTTCCTGACAATATTTGCAAAGCTGAATTGAGCTTCAGTTTGATACAGTGGAGCCATATTGACATCAATAAAACCCAACCCATGATTTAGATAATAATAATCCTCCCATTTGATATAGCGCATTATCACATCTTTGAGATGTCTCAATGTGCTTCACAGAATATACAATAAATGAATTAACTGTATATTTTGTGGGCGAAATGCAGCAGCCAATTGTGCACAACAGATTTGATCCTGTAATGAGGTGCAATGGCCAATTCCATTGCACGTGTTTGCAGCCAGCTGGCGAGCCTCCTGCTACAGCCATTTCCCTGCTACAAAATGTTCGACTACGAGGTGATCAGGTCATTGCTGGCTTCCTATTTGTTTCTGCTAGGACAACAGTCTGGGGAGTGATGTCAGTATGACCCGATGAACAGAAGTCAGCCATTTTAGTGCAAAGCTGGCCATCACGTTAAAAACAAATGGGATAGCTTCATGTAATCTATCAATAGCCTCATGAACCACAATGTACCTATTGTAATCAAATTTGTACTATAAAGAAGTGAAATTCCCAAAAGCCAGCAAAATCCAAAATGAGCCATTTAGTATCAATACAGTTTGTTAATTAAAACCCCATAGTGTATTTTGGCAGTCAAAATGCTACGCTTGCTTATGTGTTCCACCATGCAGAACTACTCATGAGGTTTCTGGCATTGTAAATGGGGACAGTGGGTTGAGGAAAGCACCACCTGCACATATTACTGTTGCAGAAAGAACACATTAATGATCTTTCATGGCAATGCTAGTTTCTCTTAGATCTATCCAGGCGTTTGATAGTACAAAGTATAAAACACAGAAACCGGATTGTATACTGAATGTTTTGAGGAATATTTTTTCAACAACCTTTTCCTATTTCATCATAGTGCAGAAAATAAATATTAGAATACAATGTGTGTCAGCCTGGCTCAGTTGATAGAATTCTTGTTTCTTGAGTTAAAAGGCTGTGGGTTCAAGATCCATATTGGGACTTGGAACTCATAGAATCTAGGCTGAGGGTGTACTGCATTATCCCTTGGATGAGAAGTTCAACCAAGGTCCTGTCTGTCTGTTCAGATGGATGTTAAAGATCCCATGGCACTGTTCGAAAAGAGGAGTTTCTCTCGATGTCCTAGCAATAATCCCCCAAATAAAATTGGTCATTCGTTTCATAGCTGTTTGTGGGACAATGCTGTGGGTAATTTGGCTGCCACGCTTGCCCACAGAAACAGTCATAGATCCTGTGAAGCACTTTGATACGTCCTCCTGAGGGGAAGGTACTAGACTAAATATAAGGATTATTTATTAAGGATTAGTATTAGCTCTATTCGGATTAGCTCTGAGACGCCATACGGTGTGGAGGGTGCTATATAAATCCAAGTTGTTGTTGTTGTTGTAGTAATGGGTATTGGCTATTGGCTGTTGTGACAGTTATACTGTTGTGGAATTACACAAGATCAATGACTAATCCCCACACTATTGTACAACTAATGCAAAATAAATTAATATATACACTATTCAATCTTTACCTTCCAATTGTAGCTGACGTCACTGCAGTGATGATGAACAGTGTACCAGGTGTTAGTACTGGTGACCGCACCACTGTCACTCGGATACAGGGAGGCCATGGCTGACCTGTGCAGGAGAAAGTAATATAAAGTGAGCATTAATTATTATATAAAATAACACAAAAATGTTTGGTAAGATTCTTATTCAATATAAAAAAGGAGCCACAATTACTGCAGCCTTAAATTTAAATCCATTAAATTTTTTCCTGCATGGCTCCCATTAGCACCTGTACATCCACTTTACAATATATTATGTGAAGTGTTTTGAGACTTTTCAATGACGTGATAAGGAGCTATATCAAATTGAAGGATTGTCATTAGGAGAATAACCTCACAGTGCTGTCATCCTTTGTTCAACTCAGCATTCCTGTCTGACTGAAAAACTTTATATGAGTGCAAGATTTGAAATTTATGATTTGTTAGCAAGCACCATAGAAACCCACTGTGCCTGTACTGAGTATCCTTGGGAACAGATTTTAAAAACTTATCTATAGCTGTATAATAATTTAATGCCCCATTTTTACAGTATTGAGTATGTTATGTGCAATGTGAACAGGGAATAACCAGTTGTGTTGCAATACAATATGCAATATGCAATACAATCAATTTGAAGTTACTCACACAGAAATTTTGAACTCTTCTTTAAAATAAAATTGGTTGTGACACATTGCTGTGCACAAATCACAAAACGCAATCCGCCAATCGACTAACAACCGGGTTCCTACTTACTGCTAGGGAAACAAAGGTGTGTGGAGTAAGGAAACCTGCCCAGGAATTGAACCCAGGTCTCTCCCTTGCGAGGCAAGTGCTCTAATCACTGAGCTACAGGATCCACCCCCTCCAGATTTAGGGTGCAAGCTCATCAGCTCTGCTTTTCTACGTTTGGGTAGATCTGGATCTGCTCTCAAACCAGTCCGAAGTCCCAAAGAACATTAATGCAACTGAAAACACACGTTCATTTTTTGCCACGTGGTGCCACTGGAGCACCATGGTGAAGCAGGAGGCAAGTCTCAGCAATCCTTGAAACTTGAGATTTTTTTTAAAAAAAGGTAACAGCCGAGAACGAGTACATGTTGTCCAAACTAATGACCTTGTCCATAGAAGAAAGAAGCGTCAGTGTATTTTCTCTTGCATTCTACATTACCTGAGACTCAGCGCTAGGTTTCTCAGATGACTTCACTGATAAGAAAAACAACACAACATTCTCAGCGTGACTCCATTTAAAGATGATTTGTAGATGATTTGGACTGGTCTGGAGCAGATCAAACTTGGAAAAGCCAATCAGGAACCTCGGTGTTCTGCTCGACCCTGAGCTGTCCTTTCTTCCCCACATCCGCGCCACAATTGGCACCGCCTTCCACTACCTCCGGAACATCGCCAGACTACGGCACTACCTCACCCCTCACGCTGCTGAAACACTGGTCCACGCCTTTATCATCTCAAGGCTGGACTATGGGAACTCTCTCCTCGTCGGCCTTCCCGGCACCTCCCTCCACAAGCTGCAGGTCATTCAGAACTCTGCAGCTCGTGTACTGTCCCGCACCAGGCTTCGGGACCACATCACTCCCACCCTCGCTCGCCTGCACTGGGTCCCCATCCCCCAGAGGATCGAATTCAAGATCCTCATCCTCACCTACAAGGCCATTCATGACCTTGCTCCCTCCTACCTCTCTGACCTACTATCCCTCTACTTACCTGCCCGTACCCTCCGTTCCTCTGGCTCCGGTCTCCGCCACACCCCCCGCCTTAACCACCCTACCATCGGTGGCCAGGCCTTCAGCCTCTCAGCCCCTAGGCTCTGGAACTCCATCCCCAAGTGCCTTCACCTTGCTTCCTCCCTTTCCTCCTTCAAGGCCGGTCTCAAGACCTTTCTCTTCAACCGTGCCTTCACTTCCCCTCTTGACTCTCTACCCCCTCCTCGCTCCCTCCCTTCCCTCCCCTCATCCTGACCATTTCCCCCCCTGCTCGGGTCCCAACCCAACTGTCCAGCGCCTTGGGATGTCCTCCCGATGTGAAAGGCGCTCTATAAATGCAATCTTGTTGTTGTTGTTGTACAGGCTACATATTTGCCAATACTATGCTTTCCCTCGCAGGATGGCTCCAGATATCACTCAGTTTGTCTAAAGCTGTGCCCTGTTAAACTAAATTGACTTGCTTCAGGATATATACACAAAAGATCTTCCCTGTCCATAAAATGTGAACACAACTGCCTTAAAATTGAGACAGGTTCCAAGAAAGGTAGACGTAAAGGAGACAGGTCTCAAATAATGTAGAAATAAAGGCATTGGGTCCTAAATAATGTGCGAATGGAAGAGACACATCCTATACAAAAATGAGGTCTAGTATATCCCCATACATGTGAACCAGAACCGTATGCCTGCAGATGTGTAAATAGCAGCATGCAGATGTGGAAAAGCAGAGTGAGGAAAGATAACAGAGAAGAATGGATGGTTAACAGTGAAGGCGGCAGGGAGATCTAGGGCAAGGAGGCACATGAAGCCCACATCGTAGACACACAACACATTCTGTTGAAGGTACAAATTATGCTCTGAATTTCACACAAATCCAAATATTTTTTCTCAATATAGTTCCATTTACAGTAAACTGCAACTCACCTTCTTCTTTCTCACTCTCTTCATCTTCTTCACTGAACTCTTTATCCATCTCCTCATCAACAGAATCCCCACACTTGTCAGAATCTGTTATTTCACCTTCCTCTGGCTCACTGTCCTCTTCCCAAGCTTCTGAATCCTCGTCTGTGCCATCCTGGATATTTGTGTCAGCACTAGGACTAAATTCAGATTTGGCCCAATCCAGATTGACATCCTCCACTTTTACTCTCTTTCGTCTTTTTATGGACTCCTCTGACAATACAACATTCTCTTCTCCTTGATCCTGGGAAGTGCCATTACTTGAAGCTTTCTTTACTTCAGCTTCAGTATCCTTTGAGGAAACAGTACAAAAATCAAATTTCAAGGATCTGACTCAAAGATGTTTTATGGCATTTGGTGACGACAAATTGAACCTCAAAACTTTAAAATCTCATTGATCCTCAACGCTTTAAGAATGTGTCAGCAAACATTTCAGAAAAACAATCTGCAGTACTCTATTGGATATATAATATTCCATGAGCTTATGCTTACAAGCTTTGTCTTCTACAGGTATAATGGAAACAACAACAAAATTATGTTTGTAAAGCGCTTTTCACGTCAGAAGGATGTCCCAAGGCCCTGAACAATCAGAGATCAGAACTTGAGCATGTGGGGGGGCAGGGTTGGGATGAGGGAGAGCAGAGAGGGTAGGAGGGTGACTGAAGGCACAGTCAAAAAGGAGGGTCTTGAGTCGTGTCTTGAATTAGCCAAGGGAGGGAGCAAGGCAAAGGCATTGTGGGATGGAGTTCCAAAGTTTAGGTAATTTTATTTGACACCACATTACTCTTAATGTGGCTCTTAAATATTTTGGCAAACTGGGAGTTAGGGTCTGTTTTAGCGGAGGGTGTATTTTAGCCTTTTTAATTGTGAACAGAGTGGGAATCCCAAATTTCAATGGGGTATTCCGTCAATCCACTTCCTAACGGGTTGTGCGTCCAAAGTCACTGGTTTACATAATCAATTGTGATGGTATGGTTTAATAATATATCAGAACCCATTATACCATGCTTGGTGGGCATGGACATAGCGATGGGCTCCACAACTGATAAATCGTATTGGGGGAAAGAAAAGAGACAACGGGTTAATTGCACGTCGTACTGAGCGGTTCCATCAAACTCCTGCAGAGAGTGGCGCAGTTACGTGGGGAAATTGGGAAGGCTGTTCCGAATGTTGAATAGTGACACTTGATTCTGAGTTGACCAACATCAGTTGCGGTGGGCCTCCATTCACCACAGGTTCTCACGTAGGGTTGATTGTTCAGGACCTGATAGAAGGGTCTCGATGAAATGGGAAATGCATGGGGTGGGTGCGCAAGGGAGGCTGCATCCCGTCATTGGGAATCCGAGGGGAGGGGAGGAGCAGAAGCTGAGACCTGACTGATTTGGCTGACCTGTGGGGTCGAACCTGGTTTGCTCTGTTCGCCTTTAAAAATTGCTCTCAACTCCTTTAGCTGTTCATTGGTAAACGATGATCTGGAGTTGTTAGCCGAGGAGTATTGGGGAGGTTGATTACGGCGGAACCCGCGACCCTGGGGGCATTGTTGGGTCCAATGTCCCGCTCATCTGCAATTATAAAATGAGCCCTGATCGGGTCCTGGTGATGTGGCGCCCTCCCCGCCCCACCTCTATCTCTTCCCTCATTTCCTCGTCCGGATTCCCAATTTTGATTCGGAGTTGGCAGGCCCCGGGAATTTGGTCTGGGAGGTCCGACTCTTCTACAAAGCAAACTTCCTTTTTAATTTCTTTACCCTGGGGGTCATCACCATGAAAGTTCATACAGTGATTATTCCAGGCTTGAGTAACCACCTTAATTAGTTCGCCCCAAGCCGTATGACTAGTGGCCGCTATTCCCAGCGCTGTTTTAACCCGAGAATGTAATTTGATTAAAAACAGCTGTCTGTAGGGTTCTACATCATGGTTTTCCTGTCCAGAGAGAAACGGATCATGTTAGGACATTTTGTATAATTCCATTAGCCTCCTATCAAAGGTTAGGGGGTGTTCTCTAAAATCCTGACAGACCTCATTCAATTATTTCGTCACATTCATTCCCCCCAATACGAGACTCAATACTTTGATTCCCTCTTTAAGTGCCTGGAAGGTAGTGGTGCGAAGAAACAAATTTACTGGCAATCTCACTTGTAGTTCTGGCACCATTGCCCATAACAGAATCCTTTTCTCTGTCTCTAACTCAGCACGGCAAATGGACAAAGGTACTTAAATCTCGACGGAAAGCTAGGGGATGCTGTCCCGTAGTGATTGGGCCAAATGCGGTCACCAGAGCCTGACGGTCCCCACGTTTAAGGGGAACTGATGTGGTGGTCTGATGGACCACATCTCCTTGGGCATTATGCACACCACTTTGGGTTATCACTACCACCTGACTGTTTTTTAACCATAGGATCATAAGGGTCACCTTCCCCATAACTAGCAGCTTCATCACTCAGTCAATCCCAATCCACATCATCATTGCTCAACTCCTTTTCTCCCATTGCCAACTCCTGATCGGCTGGCAGGCACTGGACTGCCTCTACCCGAGTCTGTCGGAATCCCAACTCTATCTTTAATTTGCTAATCTGCCGCTGGCACTCCTGATGGTTCTCTTTCATACTTGTCCCTCTCCTGCTTATCTCTTCTCGTAATGCTCCCCTAGCGTCTGACAATTTCTACTAGAGGAGTTTAACTTGATTTTCTAACTCCCTGCATTGCCGAGCCTTGGCTATGTTTTCTAACCCATGCTGTGTTACTAGATTTACGACACCTTGCTGCGTGCCGACCATCCCGCTCGACTCGCTGACCCGAGCTCTCAGACCATCCACAATTTCCAGCCTTTCTGATTCCAGCTTTTTCGTTTGCTTGCCGTAATATTCTGGATCATTTTTCCTTCCCTGCCTTTCTAATTCCAGCCTGACCGCCTCCTCCTGAAGCTGCTATTGCAACCTCTGCACCGTAGCTAAATTGATCTTCATCGCGGAATATATAGCGTATCTCATAACCTTATCGATCGTCACTTTTCCAGCCCTGGCATTTCATCTAACCATTCGACTGCACCTTGAAACAGATCGGAATGGTGCTCCATTGATCCGTACATTCCCTCAAGCCCTTCAGACAGCACGGCTTTTCCAATCTTTTCAACATAAAGATCGACCAGTATTGGTCTGTTTTTTCCTAAACCCTTATTCATTTACCATTACTTTACGCACAATGTTTTCTAACTTTCTAATGCTCGCCTCTACCAACAATTTTCCTCTGACCAGACTGGTCTGCCTGTTTAAACCTTATACTCCGACCACCGTAAATTTGTAATTTTCGTCCAGGTATTTTAGAGTGGTTTACCCTATGGGCTCCCATCCTGATCAACGACTCGGAATGCACACTCTCCTTACCAATTTGTAGGTAATTTTACTTGACACCACATAACTTTCAAATATAGGTTTCATTAACGTTTGAACAGACAAATCAGCTACACTGTATCCCTTATAGATATATCAGGTAACGGACAGAATCAGAATCATATTACTCACTGCTCCTTCTCTTTCACTTTTAATGGTCACTTTCTTACAGGAGGTAAATTCCCTCATCCCTGTACATATACACAGATACAGTAGGATCAATATTGATTCCACTGGGAAGTGCGCTAATCCTCTACACAACTATTTCAAAGTTACATCTTTCTTTTATGTGTTTCTAACTCCACCTCCCCTTGTCACAGGGATAGCCCCCACCCTTCACGGCCTGCTTTGCAAGGAGATATGGACAACTTCTGGGCAGCCTTCCGCAACCTGCTTATTTCTCAGCCTTGAGATCGGCAGGTGTCTGAGGCTGCAGCCTTTCCTTTCTGTGGCCCATTGTTCTTACATCTTTGCTCGAGGACCCGACTGCTCATTATCTCAGAGGAGTGAACATCTATCCAGGAAAATATGAAATGTAATCAGAAGCTAACCTCAACCCGTCACCAAAGTTACTTTTAACAATTTAACTATCAAACCTCCTGGAACGTTCAGTTGCTGTTTGAAATATACCAATGTATCCTGAGGTGATAGCCCGTATATTTCAACAAAAGGGTGGGGGCATAGAGGCTGAAGGCCAGACACTGATGGTAGGGCAGGTCAGGCGGGAGACATGGAGCAGTCTGGAGCCTGCTGAACAGAGGGAGCGGACAGGTGATAGGGGGTCAGCAGGTCAATGAGTTAGGCGGGGTGAGGCTGCGAAGGGCCTTGAAAGTGTGGACGAGGATTTTTAATTCTATCCTCTGAGGGATGGGGAGCCAGTGGAGCTGGGTGAGGGTGGGGGTGATGGGGTCACAGAGCCTGGTGAGGGTGATGGGATCATGGAGCGGGGTGTGAGAGGACACGAGTTGCAGAGTTCTGGATGACCTGCAGCTTGTGGAGGGAAGAGTTGGGGAGGCCGACAAGGAGGGAGTTTCCGTAGTTGAGCTTTGAGGTGATGAATGTGCGTATGAGGGTTTCGGCGGCATGAGGGGTGAGGCAGTGGAGGAGTCGGGCAATGTTGCGGAGGTGGGGGAAGGCAGAGCGGGTCACGGCGAGAAAGGACAGTTGAGGATCGAACAAAATGGCCAGGTTCCTGACTGGCTTGGTGAGGTGGAAGATACATCCATGGATGGTGGTGCTGCCAGTGCCTGAGGCGCTGAGGAGCTGGTGCGAGCTAATCACAAGGGCCTTGGTCTTGCTGACATTCAGCTGTAGAAAGTTTGCTCTCATCCAGGACTTGAAGTCTGACAGACAGTCTGTCAGGACGTCAGTTGTCCTGAATCGAGGGTGGAGGCAGAGAAATAGAGTTGGGTTTCATCCGCATCCATGTGGAAGTTGACCCCATGTCTGCGGATGATGTCACCAAGGGGGAGCACGTAGAGGTTGAAGAGAAGGGGACCGAGGTCAGAGCCCTGAGGAACCCTGCATGAGACTGTGTGGGGGCTGGAAGAGAAACTGTCGGCGGAGACAAATTGGAGATGGTGTGAGAGATAAGACCTGAACTATTCAGGGACAGAACCTTGCAGGTTGAGGTGAGAGGAGAGGCAGTGGAGGAGGATGGAGTGATCTACAGTATCGAAAGCAGCAAAGAGGTCGAGGAGGATGAGGAGGCAGAGGGAGCCCTGGTCACAGATGGACAGGATGTCGTTTGTCACCTTGACTAGAGCAGTTTCCGCGCTGTGAGCAGCATGGAAACCCGATTGGAGAGGCTCATGAAGTGGTTGGAGAGGAATAATAATAATAATAATCCTTGCATTAGATATAGCACTTTTCACATCTTCTAGACGTCTCAAAGCGCTTCACAGAATATACTGTAAAGTGAATTGACCGTATATTTGTGGGCGAAACACAGCAGCCAATTGCACACAGCAGTGTTCCACAAACAGTCGTGGATTGAAAATGACCAATTTATTATTGTTTTGTTTTGGAGGGATTATTACTAGGCGTGTGGAGTAAGGAAACTTGCCCAAGTTTTGCCCTGCCTGGTATTGAACCCAGGTGTCTCGCTTGCAAGGCAAGTGCTCTAACCACTGAGCTACAGGACTCCAATGAGCGAGCTGGGAAGCAACAACTCTTTCAAGGACCTTGGAAAGAAAAGGGAGGTTGGAGATGAGCTGTTAGTTAGAAAGCAGGGATAGGTCCAGGGAAGGGTTTTTTTTAGGATGGGGGTGATCATAGCTGTTTTTAGGGGGATGGGAATGGTGCCAGATGACAGGGAGAGATTGATAGTGTTGGAGAGTAGAGGAGCGACGAGGCGGAGCTTGGAGTTAAGGAGTGGGGATTGGGTGGATGAAAAGCGCTATATCAAATTCAAGGATTATTATTATTATAGAATCACTTCATACTTACTACTTGCTCCTTTATATGGGAACACAGAAATTGTTTTGTGCCATGACTTGGTATTTTAATACATCAGCAACTGAATTCCAGTTTATATGATACAATATGCAGTCTGATTATCTTACAATTAATATTTTAACGAAAATGGACTGTTGTTTTGAATATCACTAAAATCATAATCCTCAACACTAGGTAAGCAAGTAATGTATTCAGTGAAAAATATAATATAGTCAGGAAAACCAAAGTCCGCCTTTATTCAGCACTAGAGCCAGTCAGCAATCAGGAAGTGAGTATATACCTAATGGCTTTGTTGTATGGCAGGTTGGGATTCCATGGTCCTGAAATACCACTTTACAAAAAGACTCCACTGTATCAGTTAATAGTCTAGTCTAACTGTCCAGAGTATGTTCTTGTTTCTAGAAACAAAGATACTCCAGGTAATTCAGTTATCATTGGACTCCAGCCTCATTTATATTGGCTCTTAATTCACAATCTACAGCACATAGTATTCTACATAGAAAATGAATGCCTCCATATAGATTGTAAATTGATGGCAATTACAATACTATGCTACTGTACCTAGTACTGTGCAAAGGTTTAGCTTCATTTTACTACCTACTCCAGAAGCTTTATAGCAAATATAGGACTTAATAGAGAAACAGACTGTCTACAAGTATTGTAGTCCTCTGTTTAGTAATTTGATTGTTGCTAATAATTTGTAGAAAAATTATAATAATTATGAAATTATAATAAATTCACTAAGTGGCCCTTTTAAATCACTAGGGATTCTTATCCATAAAATGAAATCTTCTTAATCAGTACATTTTAAGGCACTTGCTTCACCTATCTAGAGTTTTTTTTTAAGAATTTCAATGAAAACTTAAGTTCAGGCATGATGCTTGTTAAATTATTTTCATTCTTGCAAAATCTTTGTATGAATACATGCTCTTTGTAGGATAGTATTATCTGGTATTTTCCCACACTGAAACATAGCACCAAAAGTGCACTCAAAATGGGCTTTACAGCACTGTATATATACTACAAGACATTTTTCTTAAATAAGTGTTCTACTATATTTTAAAAAGTCTATGTGTTCAAGGCTGAACACAATATAGTTAGTCCTGTTTAACTAATTCCTATCATTAGATGCCTGTTGCCAAAATTGATATGCCCTGTGTTATTGATCTACCTGTTGCAGAGTCTGGCCTTCTCAAGTAACAAATCTTCACTTTAGCCATTGAATCTGTCATTTGCAGGACCTAAGGACAGGAGGAACAGCATCAGAGGAACAGCTGCGTACAAAAGTGAACACCCACAGCTCTTCAAGCCTTTGCTTTTGAGCAGTTTTTATGTTTATGAAAACGAACCATAGTCTATTCCTCTACCCACTGAGAGCAGATAGCAGAATGCTCCACAGCCACAATGATATCTCAAGACTAAGACATCAAAACACACTAGGCTACGTTTCAACTTATCGCGCCTGTAGCTTGGCTCACCATCGTCCTCAAACTCTAATATTGATGGTCTTGGCAAATAAAAACTCGCTACATTTTGCCCTATCAGTAAAATAATATATTTGAACTCTGTTGGGTACTGACTCTTTGGTCTGCACATTTTGGAAAAAAAGAGACTAACCTGCCCTGAAGGTATTTTATAAAGGCTCAATATCAACTAGTACTGAAACAGCATGAATCTGGGATCTCGAGTAGGCACTCAATGATTTCCCCAAAACTCTCATCAGGAAAGCTTCCTCATTACACCTCAATTCAACAACAACTTACAGTTATATAGCGCCCTTCACCCAGGGTAGCGTCCCGGAGCACAATTCAAACACATGAAAATCTGCTTATGTTGGGAGATTGAGAAGAACATTTAGTGAATCCGTTCATTCAGTCAAAATACAGTCACTCACTCCACCGTAAAATCCTGCAAAATACATTGACATTGCAAGGTAATAGGGCGCTATATCAAATGCATGGATTATTATTATTTAATACTACCGTGGTCCCTCCCAATCAATCAGACCTCTTTATCCTTGCCCTCCCTCATATACCAAATTTTAAATTTCTAGACATATTTCAGCTCAGAAGTCTGAACATTAACTTCAACATCTTTAAACAGCAGCTTACTTTTCCCTTATGATTCTTTTTGTTCCTCTTTTCGCAGCATTTCACACTCTCCTAATGGCCTATTGATTTTTGTTTAAATAATTTCTCCCTAAAAAAAATCTTGATTTACCCCACTTTGTTCCATAAAGTGACTCTTTCCTCCTCACTCCAAGGCCATTGTTTCAAAAAACAAGTTTGGCAAGTTCTGATGAAGAATCAAATCTAAAATGCTAACCTGTGTTCAGATGCTGATTTGATCTGCTATCTGTTCAGTTATAGGTTGCAGCAGTATAAGATGGAATGCACCAGGACACTGATGTTACTGAAATAAATCGTGGTCTCCAAGTGGATATCATCCATATCTTATTTAAAAAATCCAAAACTATTCTTAATGTAATATTGATCTCAAGGACTAATGATCCACGATCAACAACGTTCAGATACTGAAATGCTCAGAAACTTTTTTTTGATACTGTTAGCCCAACTGGGTGAAAAGGCAAAAGATTAAATAAACACAGGGGGGTTTATTTGGGGTGTCAATCCATAAACAACTCCTAATAACTTCATATCATTCCTATTGAAAGTTATTGGATTAATTATTCAAGACTGGGTGACAAAAGCAGCAATAACCTGCCTAGGCAAAGAGGGGCAAAGACAACAATGACATCCTCAGTGTCCAAAGCACCCACACCAAGGATGTCTTGAAGTACAGCAAGGTCAGTATTGATTTTTGGCATGTGATGAATGAGAAGGTGGTGCATCAGCAGACACTCATCTAAGCACTGGTCGATGCTGGTTTGCTGACACTGATACTTGAAGATGGAAGACTTTAGAGCTTATGGCGATGCCACCGAAACCTGTTCCAATTATTTTGGTACCTGCTAGTGAAATTGCAGGTGAAACTGAGGTTAAATAACTCAAAAGTAATCAAGAGTCTTTATCTCAGTTACACCCCTGGTTTGGTCATTGTGAGAACAGGGAACACTCGGGTCTCATAATGCCGACAATTTGGAAATCTTTATAGACTTTATCTTAACAAAAATGTGGTATTTAATTTCAGCTGCGCTGAGGCTAACAGAGTAGTGTATATCATACCTTTTCTTCCTGTGTGACAATCTTCTCTACTCCTCTTCGTTTTTTCTTCACTTTCTTTTCTGGATTCTGTTCTGCTGTGCACTGGTATGCCTGTAGATCCACTCGAGAATGAAACTGGTATCGGCCACTCTCTGCATCATAGTAGTAATAAATACCGCTGTGCGCATCATAGTAGAGTTGGCTTGCCTTAATGAAAAAAAATTGGTTGGAAATCTTTAATATGCAGAAATTCATATCACCCCCCATATTAAAAAAAACTTCAATAAGATGCAATGCAGGTTACAATGTATTGGTGTCCTAACATGTTGCATCATGCAGTGGTAAGTATCAAGTCTAAAAACCTACATACACAAATTCCTGAATTGAAATAAGGCGAACAACTGAATGTGGCACTAAGTGCAAGTGGGATACTTCCTCATACAGTAACATGGAGCACAGAAGGGTTTTAACCCGAGTCTCTCTTCTCCAATTCCTCGCAGACAATCATCAAGTGGGAATGGCATGCACAAGAAGCAGGAAGCCTCTCCATCCTTTCGGTTGAGGTACCATATAGTGTTTCATTTAGTGCAGTCTTTAAGAGTGCTGGCGAGAAAATGATAATAAAACTATTAAAAATTCACATGGAATCTCTCTTTATAATTCAGTTGGTAAAGCCATTGCCCAGTATGAAACTACCACAGAGAGCAAGAAGTTCCCAGGTTTGAATCCTGGTCTGTGCTGAACTCACTGATGTCACCAGGAGCTCGCTCTTCTACAGGCTTCAGAAGAATAGAGAAAACAAATCAGCTAGGTTTGTCACTCCTGATTCCTGATAGAAATGCTACACATTTGAGTGTTAAGTATATTTAATTTTAAAAGAAAACTCATGGGACTTTTACTCAAGAGGATTAGTAGATTTGTTCTTCAGTTTGTTTACAGTAGTACCTAACATTGCTTTATTTAAAATATTCAATAATGAAGCCGAGAAAAAAAATTGAAAGACAAGATATATCAATTCAATAAAGTTACCGAATCATAGTAGAAGCCTGTGGTATAATCATAATACATTCCAGTGTTGTCGTCATAGGTGAACCCAGTCTGTGACATAGCAGCTTCTGCAGTGGCACGTAAACTGTCTGCCAGTGAAGTATTCTCAGATTCCTTAAAGTAAAAGATGAAATTAATTAATAAAATGTATTTGTATTTTGTAAGCTGTTAATTTTGGTTTAAACTAAGTAATTATTAATTCTGACATCTGTCTGGAAAATCACTTGGGACATTTTCAATGACAATGGGATACAATTACATTGAGAAACTGAACCTATAATATCAAATGCAAGGATTTTATTACAATATGCAGATTTGTAAATCAATTTACAGGATTTTTTTTGTTCCAAGTACATGGTAATTGCTCATCCAGTTGTCCAAGCATTTTAGATAAGAAAAGCCCCAGGGATAGAACTTAGTGAATGTACATTTTGGTTAGTGCTCTTTGTACCCATTTCATTTCATAACATTACTCCCTACATTTAACAATGATTTTACTGAAATTGTTTTACAACTATTTAGTTAGTCAAGAGAAAGATCTTAAAATCAAATGCTGCACAATCAGTTACAATAGTTTATTTATGAAACTCCCAAATAATTCAGCTAATCTTTCAGTTTCTTGATGTTTTACACCAAGCATTAATATTTCAGCAAGAAAGCAATTAATAAGATGGGGGGTGATGACCGGGGAGAAACGACAACAATGAAACAGGTTCTATTGCAACAGTTGGCTACCCACCTCTGCATTTTGATCAATGCTGTTATGGTCTCCATATACATCTAGCAGTGATAGGCTACCAGAAGTATACTCTGTGTACTGGTAGTCATCAACCTGAACCTGTGCTTGCAACTGAGCAGAGGCCTGAGTCTCATCCTGAATTTCTTCAAGGTCTCCACGAATTTCAGGTTCTACCATATTGCCATTGTCATATTGATCACTGTTCAACGCCTGATGAGAATCCTGAGTTTCATTATGGTAATAGCCTGAGAAATAAAAAGAGAAATGAAGATCTATGCATTTACCAATCAATTCATAGAATCTTCTAGACAATCTTCAGATTAAGTACATTTTTAAAATTTTAAACATTCAATTGGATGGGGTTGACAATTCAACACCAAATATAGATAAATACATGTCCATTCTTACCATTTTGAAGGTGAACTTTTCATTTATGCATTAACAAGAGGAATAACAACATTTCACTCTGAGCATTTTAAACAATCCTATATTGCTATGATTTCCATAATAATGCTTGCATTTAATAGTCACTTATATTATTAATAACAATATATTATGAATAATAATTTATACAAAAAAAATAATTGAGTATTAGTAGTAATAATAAATTATTATGATTATTACATTATATAATAACCCTTACATTTGATATAGGGCCTTATCACGTCTTCAAGACGTCTCAAAGCGCTTCACAGAATATGCTGTAAAGTGAATTGACTGTATTTTATAGGTGAAACGTGGCAACCAATTGCCAAAACATTGGTGAAACATCTCAATAATAATAATCCTTGCATTTGATATAGCGCTTTTCATGTCTTCTAGACATCTCAAAATGCTTCACAGAATATGCTGTAAAGTGAATTGACAATATACTTCACAGGATTTTTCTGCAATAGGTAATGACTGTGTTTGCAAGCGAACATGGCAGCCAGTGTGTCACATGCAGTGAATGACATTCTCAAACTATTTCTTCCCAGAGTGAGACTGATCTAATTTAAACCAATTCTTACCTGTGTGGTGATCAGCAATACAAAGATCAGTCTGAACTTCTGTGTCAATTCTGTTCATTTCTTTCATTTTTCTTTCAAGCATTTCTTTACTGAGATCTTCAACCTAAAAACACGTGACAAATATTCAATCACAAGTCTACTTTTGAACTTAGCTTTGCAGAAATGATAGTCAATAAAATTAAAATTAACGACTGTTTGTCGGTCGCAATTGGTTACCAAGTTTCACCTACTTAGGTAAGCAGAATGGGTCCATTGCAGACACAATGAAATTTCCATGTATAAGTGGCATAAGTATGTGGAACTCTGAATCTGGTTTGGGTACTCTTAAACATAGTGGGTATTCTTAAACACTTTCCTCCATCGTTGTAGATTTGCAAGTGCCTTTTTAAGATTGTCTATATGTTGAAAGGTCCCAAATAATCTTTCTATAACTGTATAACTGTATTAAGGTGATTCAAATAAGTGATTTCATAATTGGCCAAAAGAACAAGGCACTACTTGAAACACACAGAGTTACAATGAGAAAAAGCAAAGAAATTGTTGTACATTAGTCTTGCAACGATTAAATCTTTGAGTTTGGAAAATGATTAAAAAGTGCCCCAGCATTAGAAACTGGTTCTGCAGCAAGATAAAGTCAAGCTTTAGAGACTAATAATCAGAACGTTTTTCTACAGGAGGCCAAGTGCAGCATTTCCACTGCTAACCAGTTTTCTAAATTGCTCTCTTTTGTATTAATCTCAGTGTCAACTCATTATCATCATCACGATTTAGAACTACAGATCAATTTATACAGTGGAAACACCCCAATGACTGAGGAATTTAAATCACAGTGGACTGATCTCAGTAGGGAGTCGTGATCTCAATAAAGTATCCAAAACATAAACGACTGTATGTACAGTATTTGTTGATTACCATCATGTCCATCTTAGCACTTAAAGAATATATCCTAAACAACACAAAAATTGCACTCATATAGTGCCTTTCACGTAGGAGAACTTCTCAAAGCACTTTACAAACATGCTTTACAAATTACATGCAGGTATTTGTTCATGCCATCATGTACATATGTCCTGTGCATTACTGTTATTTTAATTTTATTGTTACTGTAAGTCTAGTCTTATTAATCTCCTCTTCGACAATACCACCCCCCTTCGCCTCCCCTCCCCCGCTGACCCCAGCTCGGGTCTGAAACGCTGTACCCTGTCCGGGGCCTTGGGACGTCCTCCCGATGTAAAAGGCGCTATACAAATGTATTCTTGTTGTTGTAGTCTTTGCAGATATGGTTTCAGGTTAAGTTACCTGTCAAATCAAATCCCTCAATCAAATGTATACGAGAGAGAAGGGTATAGAGGGGTATGAGAGAGAAGGGATACAAAATATAAATATATAAAAGACAAGATACATATGTTCAGTTTTATAAAATTCCATTTACCTGTTTTCGTAAGTCTTCATTATAATTCTCTGAGTTTTTGTACAGTTGCTCAGTCTGGTTTAGTTGTTTTTGTAGCTTGTGAATTTGAGTTTTATGGTTTGCTAGCTCTTCTTCCAGATTTTTGACCTTCTGCTGTAGATCATGGAGCTCACAATCAGGGACCAAGTCCAGGTTACCATCTGCCAATGCCATCTCAAAACTCTAACCTACAACAAATAAGATATAGTTTTAATCAATGCAAAGCACAGCAGTTTAATCCTTATACCATGCCTTGACCTTATGCAAAGCTTGATTTCTTTTGGGTGGGGGAGTGGGTAAACAGAAACAGGATCTCTTTGGAGCTGAACTGACCCCAAGGTGACACGCTCGACAACAGAATGTCAGAATCAAGTCAACCCTCGGTTGTCCAGTTCCTGAGCCGGGCCGCAGTACTCGAGGTACCAATGATGCCAACCAGGCTCATTGACAGTAGATGGCAGGCGGATTGGGGTCAGTGATTCTTCCCATTTGGCTTCTATTAACCCTGCAAGCCAAAGCCCTAGGATGGCCCCAGACTGTCAAGTAGTTGGAACCTTGCCAGATAACCAACAGTGGTCCTTGAACTAAACTTGGGAGTCTTGTAGCTCAGTGGTTAGAGCACTCGCCTTGCAAGCGAGACACCTGGGGTCAATTCCAGGTCAGGGCAAAACCTTGGGCAAGTTTCCTTACTCCACACAGAGCCTAATAATAATCCCTCCAAAACCCAAACAATAATAAATTGGTCATTTTCAATCTACGACTGTTTGTGGGACATTGCTGTGCGCAATTCGCTGCCGCGTTCGCCCACAAATATAGCCAATTCACTTTACAGTATGTTCTGTGAAGCGCTTTGGGACGTCCTCCCGACATGAAAAGCGCTATATCAAAATGCAAGGATTATTATTATTATTATAATCCCTCTCTAAAAAAAGATAATAAATTGGTCATTTTCAATCCACGACTGTTTGTGGGACACTGCTGTGCGCAATTGGCTGCCGCGTTTCGCCCACAAATATACGTTCAATTCACCTTAGCCTATTCTGTGAAGCGCTTTGAGACATCGAGGAGACGTGAAAGGCGCTATACCAAATGGATTATTATTATTATATATTATATCCTGCTTGGGTCTGCCACTTCATCGAGAGATTATTTAATCGAGTCTTACAGAGTTAGACTGCGATCTCAAACATCAAATTCCTGCCGGATATAGAAGGGGAGACCGTAAGCCGCACTATCTTCCTCTTTCAGTTGCTGTGTGTTTCTAGTGGGGTTTTCTGTTCCTTTCGAACACCAGCTCAGACCCTGGGACTCACTGGATGGAGTGTTTCCTTCCTGATAACCGTTGAATACCCGGAATGTGTAATTCATGTCGGGAAGAGGATGGAGGTGGCGAGTGGTTTATTTTCCTCTCGCGAGTCTCGCTCACCATGAAACCAACGAGAAGGAGCCGAAGTCCCCAGCGCCTCGGGAAGGAGCCCCGGCCTCACATCATGTCAAGACACCTTTAAAGAAAGAGCAAAATACATCACGTTACTATCAAGCGACCTCCCCACCCCCGACCTCCTCCTCGCGCCGAATTCATCTCGCGTTTCATCAAACTCAAAAGCAATGGGGGGCAAAGCGATTATACTTTGCAGAGACAGTGAACTCCGCCATGTCTGTGTGGGCAGCCGACAAGGTGCGGCGTCGGTGACGAAGGGACGCACGCTACGCACGAGGGGGGCGGGGAGGACGCACGTTACGTACGTGAGGGAAGGGAGGGGGAATTCCGTCACACACTGAGGGCGCATAGGGGAGTGAAGTCACGCGCTACGTAACGGCTGAGGGCTTACGTGCAGCGGTTGACGTCGGCCACTCGGCACCTGCAGGGGAGGGGACGCGCCACCGGGGGACCCCGTCACCAACAAGATGCGGCCGGAATGGGCGGGTTCACGCCCAATATGGGCGGGTTCACGCCCAATATGGGCGGGTCCACGCCCGATGGGGCGGTTTTTGGTCGTGCGGGGCTGCGGCTTTCGGCCGAGTTTAAATGGTTTTTTTTAAAAAAGGAAAAAAAAAAGAAAATGTCGTTGCGCTGCTCACCGTCCAGCACATTCCTGGTGATCAGGGGCTCAAACAGGGGCTCATTAGGTAGACGTCTAATGGCCAAATGGCGATGTTCCTCCTGGGAAGGAGGAGGAGGAGGAGGAGAGGGAGGGAGCGAGCGAGTAAGTGGCATCTCTTTGGGGCATGAATTAGCCAAAGGTGAAATGCCTAACAACGTAAGATTGAGTTAGAATCATAGAGTTATACAGCACAGAAGGAGGCCATTCGGCCCATCGTGTCTGTTCCGGCTCTTTGAAAAGAGCTCTCCAATTCAGCCCCACTCCCCCGCGCTCTCCCCATAGCTCTGCAAACTTGTCCTCCCCAAATGATTATCTACTCCTCTCTTAAAACTTGTTATCCACTCGGCTTCCACCGCCCTTTCAGGCAATGCATTCTATATCCGAACAACTCGCTGCGTGAAGCACTTTCTCCTCACCTCCCCTCTGTTTCTTTTAACAATTATTTTAAGTCGGTGTCCTTGGATTTACAACCCACCCGCCAGTGGAAATAGCTTCTCCTTGTTCACCCTATCGAATCCCCTCGTAATTTTGAAAACTTCTATTAAGTCTCCTCTTAACCTTCTCTGCTCCAAGGAGAATAATCCTAACTTCCTCTAAACTCTCCTGATAACTGAAGTCTTTCATTCCTGATACCTTCCTGGTAAATCTCCTTTGCGCCCTCTCCAATATCTTGACATCCTTCCTAAAGTGTGCTGCCCAGAACTGAACACAGTGCTCAAGCTGAGGCCTGACCAGCGTTGTGTGAAGGTTTATCATAACTTCTTGACTTTTGTACTCTGCCCTTAAATCCTCTCTGTTCTTCCGTGCTCCACAACACTGTTGGTGATGGACTAGGCATCTTGGGTCATTAGCAGGACCTGGAGAAGCAGACCAGTCCCCAGGGACTTGTTTTTGAAACCTGTTAACACTGCAAGCCAAAGCCCTAATGGGTAGGGTGGTCCCAGACGGAACTATAATAATAATAATTTGGTCACTCAATCCACGACTGTTTGTGGGACGCTGCTGTGCCCAATTGGCTGCTGCGTTTCACCCATAAAATATACAGTCAATTCACTTAACAGTATATTCTGTGAAGCGCTTTGAGACGTCTCGAAGACGTGATAACGCGTTTTATCAAATGCAAGGATTATTACTATTATTAATCTTATATTAATAAAACGACGATGTGTGTCTGCGCTTCAAGAAGGATCTTGATAACCGATTGACGTAGAGACATGATTTATACCTCATCGGAAAGGTCGAGTACTGGGAGTGACATGGGCATATTTGTTTTCGGGTATCGCCTATTGCTCATGAGTTGTTTTCCGTTTTTCGCTGCAGTTACACCTGGTGGCTGCCAAGTCAAAGTGGCGCTATGCATTGTGCGTCACAGAGCACCTATGTATGTACGTACTCGCTGCAATTACACCTGGTGGCTGTGCTGGCTGACCGTGGCGCTGTGGTATCCTGTCTCATAGAGCATGCACGTAGCCAAACGGCGGGAACAAAATAAAGCACGCAGACGAAGCAAAGCCGTGGCAACAACAAAATTACATTTTTGAAGCGCCGAGTCCTCCCATTGAGCCCTCGCACAGGAGTCCTCCCAGATGAGTATAGATAAAGATTTAATGTCTGTCTGTGTGTCTGCTTGTGTGTCAATCTACATTCCATATTGGATCCTTTGGTTGCAAGTGTAGCCACAATGGGTACAACTAGTATTAGATAAAGCAGTAAAATAATGACATTTTCAGCTGGGACCACCAATTATTATTCATGATAATCACTGTAAAGTGCTTTGAGATGGTGCAGCATCATAAAGCACTAAAATTACACGTTCTATATTAATATATTTATCATTGTATTATAAAAATGCTTCCCACTATCCCCTGAAAAGCAGCAGATAATTCAGCCAATGATATTTGTTTCATTTTATTAAGACAAAATGTACTTTAATAGCGATAGGATAAAAATCTGCGTTTGTTGGGATCAAACAAAGTACAAACGTATGTGCAAAAAATTAAACATAATATCATAAAAATGTTTTTAGTAATTGGGAAATGTTCAATATGTTTTTGCCTCTAACTTCTAAATTCTGCCCTACTTTACTTCTGCGTCTTTTCTGTACTGCTGCTATAATAAATATAATCCTTGCATTTGATGATAGTGCCTTTTCACAGAATATATTGTGAAGTAGATTGACTGGATACTGTGTATTATCCATTAATAGCAGTAGGATGATCATTGAAAAATATTAGCTCCATAGCCGATTTTTAAACAATCAAGACAAAAAATTAAAATTCAATATGGTCATGTCAATATGGTCATGTGTGGAGTCCTGTAGCTCAGAGGTTAGAGCACTCGCCTTGCAAGTGAGAGACCTTGGTTCGATTCCAAGCAGGGCAAAATGTTGGGAAAGTTTTCTTACTCCACATGCCTCTGTTTACCTAGCAGTAAGTAGGAACCCGGTTGTTAGTCGATTGGCGGATCGCTTTTCCAGAGATAATAATCCTTCAAAAAAATTATTATTTGGTCACTCAATCCACGGCTGCTTGTGGGACACTGCTGTGAGCAATTGGCTGCCACATTTCGCCCACAAATATACAGTCAATTCACTTTACAGTGTGTTCTGTGAAGCGATTTGGGACGTCCTCCCGACGTGAAAAGCGCTATATCAAATGCAAGGATTATTATTATTATTATTATTCTGTGAAGCGTTTTGAGACATCTAGAAGACGTGAAAAGTGCTATATCAAATGCAAGGATTATTATTATTATTATTATTATCAAGAATGACACCAGTTAATTTTTTTGAATTGATTTGTTTACAGCATCAAATTGAACTACATTGGCGTAACATACTTTTTTTTCCATGATGGAAATTGTTATAAAAAAATGGCTGTCGTGATGTTCCTCAACCTCTACTGTTCTGTAATATTGTAACTAAATAATTCCAGGAGGTTCATGAGGCAAAAATCATACTCTACTAATAAATGCTGAGGTGATGAGCTCCACTTGACATAAGTTTATTGGACCTTGACTGTATGCATAATTGTGATGGAGTCAAGATTAATTGGCAACTGTGGATTAAAGTACAGATCTTTCTCTGCCTCGCTCCCTCCCTTCCCTCCCCCTGACCATTGCCCCCCTGCTCGGAATCCAACCCAACTTGGGACGTCCTCCCGACGTGAAAGGCGCTCTATAAATGCAATCTTGTTGTTGTTGTAATTTCACACAACACTTTGTTTGTATGCCAAGATAAGAATTTTCCCTCAATAACCTCAATTCCCTCAATGCATTTGATATAGCGCCTTATCTTGTCTTCGAGACATCTAAAAGCACTTCACAGAAATACTATAAAGTGAAATGACTGTGTATTTTGTGGATGAAACACCGCGCCAATTGCGCACAGCAGTGTCCCACAAACAGTCATGGATTGTGTGACTACATTATTATTATTATTTGGTAGGGATTGGCCACTTAAACCCAGGCACTAATTTGATACGATTCCAAGTAATTAAAAAGATGAAAATGCAAATAAAACATTATTCCAAAGGCACTTGCTGTAATATTGAGCTTGCTGCAGAAGAGACAAGAGAGCGACAGGAGAGAGAGAGAGAGAGATGGGAAGAGACAAAGGTGGGGAGAGAGAGAGAGACGGAGAGAGTGACAGGGAGTCAGAGTGTCATAGAGAGAGATCGGGAAGAGAATGGCCACATGTTATATAGACCATTTGAGAAATTTACAATGCCTTTAACCTAATAGATTGGAAATTAGTACGTGGACAAATTGTCCACTAGAGGGCAGATGTGTAACAATACTGGTGTGTAACAAAATGGATAACAGATCGGATGAAAAAAGGCAACCCATTGGTCTTTTTGGTCTCATCCTTCCAAAATATTCACCCTACAGTTCTCCGATCACATTATCAAGCTGTTTTTTTTTTAAGATGGGCTCAACCACCCTTCCTCGTAACCAGTTCCAGTTGTTAATTACCTACTGGATAAAGAAATGATTATTGGTGTCCATCCTGAAATTGCGCTTTGCAATCCCAAACTTATGTCATCTTCTTCTGTTGTCTTGGTGCTTCTGAAAGTATTTCTCAATCCCATTTCAAATCTTGTAAACCTGAATATAAGGTGCTCTCCGAGATGTTTCCTTTCAAGTTTGAAAAAACACTAGCTTGTCTATCTTTGCTCATAGCTCATTCCTCTAACACTGGTGATCATCCTTGTTGTTCTCCTTTGGCTCCTTTGCACTTCTTCAATAGCCTGAGCAATCCCCTTATGTTGTTGCAAACTAGAACTGTATGCAATACAGTTTTGCATTATTTTGCATCAAAACCCCTATTTTTTGAGACCTTATTATCTGGACATAGTAAAAAATGTATTGCACCATTAATGGACCAGCCATTCTGCCCCATTCTCTGGAACTCCATCTTGGAGTTACTCTGCCTTGCTCGTCCCCTCCCCTCCTTAAGACCTTTCTTTTTGACCCAGCTTTTGGTCGCT